TAACATAAACCAGAAGGTCTCATGGCACTGGCTGCATGGGCAGCACTGGCCTGAATCCCAGAGCTGGAAATTTCCTGGGGGAAAGCGGGGCCTTCATCCAGCTGCAAAACAGATGGGTGGGCTGCCCATAATGCAGGCAGGGCAGGGGCTCAGCTGCTCCCCAGCACTGCTCCACCAGTGTTCCCTTGAATTTGGAGGCTCACATCCCCAAAGAGGGGACAGCAGCCACAGCCCCACAGGTTTCTGCTGGACATCGTTGCATCCAGCTGAAGGTTGGGGAAAGAGGCAAGGAGGAGAATGTTCCTCCTTGCCCAAAGTCCTTCATGGCTAAGGCAGCCAGGAAAGTATGGAATGCATGGAAATGCAAGGAATGGAGGGACAGGAAGGGGTCCTGCTTCCCTCCTCGTGCTCTAAACATCCTCGTGTTCTAACAGTGAGAGGGAACGTGGGCAGTGCTGGGGAGCACTTGGAGTGTTGGAGCTCCCACTGCTCTGGGAATGTGCACCTCTGAGCAGCCCCATGGACAAACCCAACAGCACCTGCAGGATTAAGGAGCACCCTCATCAATGGCAGCTCCAAAGTTAACAAGCTGGCTCCACCACCCACACCAACTTCTAAAAAGCCAGGGGAGGGTGGGAGGGAGGTAACAGGAGCCAGCTGCTTTTAAGATCACTGGTGAGCAATCAAGCAGGAAAGTGGCCTGGGGTGTCACACCAGCGACCAGGGGCTGGAAAGCTTTAAAATCTCATTTTAAACTCCACCTTTTCATCTCCAGCAAAGCAACCATGGCTGCCAGGGGATGAGAGGATGAGCACAGGAATTGTTTATTGGGGAATGCCACCTTCTGCTGCAGTAACCTGGGAGGGTAGCACCTTTCCCAGAGACCTGGGACTTCAGGATTAATAGGGGTGCCCAGAGCAAAGCCCAGACTTACAGAGCAGTGAGTCCCCATGTCCTCGCTGCCAGCAGCAGGGATGGCTTGGTCTTACACTCTGAGGGAATCCAAAGGAAAACCCTTTGGGGTGCTGCCCCACTGTGATGCTCACAGAGCTTCCCAAAAACCAGTTTTAGGGGAAATCCAGCTTTTTAGGAAAGCAGAAGAGCTATCTACTGACCAGAGAAAAGTTTGCAGCCACAGGGCCCATAGGTTTAGCTCATCCTCTCCTGCATCCCTTCCTGATAGCATCGAGCACCCTTGCAAGGGGGCAAACCAGAAAGAGTTATTTATATGTCTGTATTAGAAATAGAAGAAGATGCTAAAACCAGCAGCTGTGGTGGTTCAGAGCTCGATGAAGCTGCGATGGGTTAAAGAGCTGCCTGAGCCGCTGCCTCGGGCGAGCACCGCGGAGAGCCCAGGGATGCTCCCGCTGAGACCCGGGCGAGGAGGGAACTCTCCCAGCCTGACCCCACCGAGCTCACAGAGCAGCTCCCCAGGCAGCGCCATGGGAGAGCACCCTCTGCCAGAGGGATTCCCAGCCCATAGCATCCCCATTCCCGACACACCCCAGCACCGGCAGGGAGATGCCCCCGCCTCACCCCGACCCTCCTCACTCTGCTGTAAACCCTGTGTCGTGCCACCCTCGCACGCCAGGAGCCACGGCGGGGCTCGGCGGGCAGGGATGCTCGGTGCCCGGGCGGGCAGGGATGCTCGGTGCCCGGGCAGGGATGCTCGGTGCCCGGGCAGGGATGCTCGACGGGCAGGGATGCTCGGTGCCCGGGCGGGCAGGGATGCTCGGTGCCCGGGCAGGGATGCTCGGCGGGCAGGGATGCTCGGTGCCCGGGCGGGCAGGGATGCTCGGTGCCCGGGCAGGGATGCTCGGTGCCCGGGCTCAGGGAGGCTCTGGGGGAGCCCCGTGACGCGGGCGCAGCTCAGCGGGATTAGCGGGCGGACGGACGTGACTGCCAGGCAGTCGCCTGCTGCTAATTAAAGAAGGGATATATTTAGGCACCCGGTTATCCCCTGCATTTCACTTATTTTTAGCTCCCGGTCTGCCAGGCTGGGCTGGCACATGGGGAAGGGCACGGACGCGAAGCAGGATGGATCCAGCCCCAGCAGCAAGGAGGTCACAGCCACATGTCCTGGCCAACATGAGCCCCTGGGGGAAAGAAACCTCTGTCCAAACTGGCTGCAAAAGAAGAGAAATATTTCATTTTTTTCCCCAGAAAGGCAGGAAAATGGGTTTCAGGGAGCAATAGGAGCATCCCTGCTCAGTCCTTGCCCCAGATCCATCCAGCCCCCCATACCCAGGAGTTGAAAATGGCCCTTTTTGGAATCACCCAGCAAAAAGCACAGCTGTGCCCAGGGCAGAGGCAGCTCCCTCATTCTCAGAGGCCCATCCCTCTGCAGTGGCACTGGCCTGGCAGCAATGCCACTGCTCCCCATGCCTTCTCTCTTTCCAGCACAGCCAGAGCGTGTCCTTGGCACAACTGAGCACCCCATCCCCGTGGGCCACCAGCAGGTGTGCAGGAGCTTACTCGGGTCTTAAGTACCCTGAAAAGTGTGGAGAAACAGCAGGAAGGACAATGCCCAGCATCCCTGTGTCCCTCCTGGGCCAGGACAGCACATCAGTCCCATTCATTTCCCCCTTTGCTTCATTCCCACAAGCGCTCTGGGGTTTCATGTTTGGGGGTTTTTTCCCCTTTCCAGTGTGAAATATTGATCAGGTCTCTGCTACCCTCCCACGCCACCACACCTCCTGGCTGCCTTGCTTTCCTCATGGAGTGGAGTGTGGGGTGTGGTAGAAAATCAAAATAATGGGATAATTAATGACCCAGGGAGCTGAAACCCAGCCAAAAGCCAGGCAGCTCTGGCTGGCCTGGGAGGAGGCTTCCCAGCAGGGAAGGTTTGGTTTGAGGGTATTTTTTGGAGCTGAACAGCATCCAGGGGTTGGCCAAATTTCTTCTTAGGTGGCCCATCAGGTAAAGCCTCTCCCAAAACAGTGAGACTGGGAAGTTCAGAAACTCCATAAATCTGAGATGGGAAAAAAAATCCACCCCTATTTCTTTACTTTTTTCAATCCTTTGACTCCAGGAGCAGGTGTCTGCACCCTCCAGTCTGTGGAGAGTGGCCAGGGCCATGTGGGGTTGTGAGCTCCCATCACCTGGGCTGCAGCTTGCCCTGGTTCCCTGCTGCCCATCAGAATTAGGCAGCCCGTTAGAGCAGGTTTACGATAATCATCAAATAACTCGTTCATTGACAGCTGAGAAGACTGACTGAGCCCTCGTTTGCTGATTGCTAATTAGCTTAACATTCCTAATCCCTCATTAGTGACTATGAAGTAAGCTCTGAAATATGAGGTCAGCCCTAATCAGCATTTAAAATATAAAGCCCATTGGCACATGATGGAGGCTGGGGAGGGGGTGGCTGCAGGCCAGCCCTGGGTGCTTCCATGGTCACAGGGAATGAGGCTGCACAGAGCAGGGGCAGATAGGAAGAGTTAAACCCTGTGGAGCCATGGATATCTGCACATCCCCCCCAGAGCTCAGCTCCTGCACTCAGTGCCCAGCCTGGATCCACACCAGGAACAGGCAGCAATGAGGGCCCCCGGGTTCCTTCAAGTCCCCAGTGCATCCAACAGCAATTCCAGCTGTGGCTTCCATTCTGGGCAGAATGTTTACAGAATCACAGAATATTCTGAGTTGGAAGGGATTCACAAGGATCATGAGTCCAGATGTTAAGTGAATAGCTCATACAGGGATCAAACTCACCAGCACCATGCTCTGACCAACAGTGGGGGCCAAACATTCTGGCTTTCCCCCTAGTTCCCATCTTGAAGATTCCAGGTTAACTGCAGACAGCCAGGCTGTTGGCAGTGGGACTTTCCCCGGAGAATCACCCAACACCCTGATCCTGGGGGAAGGAGTCAAATCCCAGCATTGGCAAGTGGGCACCAAAGTGCACTGGGCTGCCACTTCCACACCATCCATGTGGGAGGAAAAACTGGCCCTTAGTTGTTGTGGCTAAATCCTCTGGAAGAATAAACTGAGGTGAACTGAGAGTTACTAATTGAGGCTGAGGAACCTTCTACAGAAGGGCTGTGGACATTAAAATAACCCTAATTAAACTCCAGCTAGTGAGCCTTAAAAAATGAGAAAAATACCTGTTTCCATGAAAATGTAATTTGAAAAGCCCTTGCAGCACAGCTCTGCTCATCCAGGGCGATGCTCCCACCTCAGGCCCTGTGCTGCTGGAGATGATGCTCTGGATTTGGGCTGTGGGGCAAGGCCAGCACACCAGGAGCAGGGAGCCTTTGCCACGACAGACAGGTGGGTTATTATTGCAGGAGAGGCACCGCTCGGTGTGGGCAGGAGCATCTCTGTTTCGTGAGCCCACGTCAGCGACACGGCGAGCGGCGCTGCAAATCTCCTGCGGACTGCCGAGCTTCGGCCCCGATCCCTGCTCCCTCGCTCCTCCAGAGCACGGAGACACGGGGTATTTTGAGCATCCCTGGCAGCAGCCAGTGAGGATTAGTCCAATCCCCCCAGACATGAGCGTCTCCCCAGCTCTATTTCCAAGGACAGGAATAGTCTTTGAAGGCTTTTCCACGTGGAGGGCATGCACCTGCAAATGTTGAAAGAGAAGATCTGTTTCTGGAAAGGTTTTGGGTGGTGCAGCATCAAGGCTGCCTAAATAAGTGGGAGACAAAGTGGCCCTGTAGCACCTGCTGGCTCTCACTCCATGGCTAATCCAAGTCAATGCCAAGTCCCTGCCCTTGGGATTTTATTGTGCATCCAATTCCTGAACAAAACACTATAACCTACAGACCTGGTGGAGGATGGTAAATTCTGGGCTTGGGTTTTGGAGTGGAAAGCTTTGGCTTAGCCACATACCTGGCCTGTGGAGCAGAAAATCCCAAACAGCCTGGCAGAGTTACTCCTACACTCAGACACTCCACAGGCCATTTTCTGCCCCATCAAGCAGCTGGTTGAGCAGGCAGGTTGGGAGCACAGCCTATGGGAAACTGAGGGGACACCAACCAAGAGACAAACACGAGTTTGGATTTATGTAAAAAAAAAATTATTTATTTTGGAGGAGGATTTGAACATCGACATGCAGGTACAACATGAATAAAAATTATTGCACCGCTATTATGTGGCAATTGTTCAAGTTTCTAAAAACACAGAAATTCCACACTTTCTCTTATCTAGCTAAGTGCTGAGTGACACGGCTTGGCAGAGCCCAGCGCAGGAGGTGCTCTCACAGCCACCTGGATATGGTAATCGAACACAACGTAAACACACACTTCTGTCAAATCTTCTACTAGAAGTACAGAATTATCCTTCACATCCAGTAAGAGAAAACCAGAGAAAGACTTTATCCTCCCCTCTTCGGAAGAAAAGAAAAACAAAAAAAAGAAAAGAAAAAAAAAAATACTCCAAATCACACCTTAATGCAAGTGTGGCAAACAAACCCACTGGTCACTCCTACCCCTTCCCCCACAAGCGCTCTTTAGTACAGCAGCAGCCAAAGGCCTCCAACATTCAGACCCAGGAGTGGCCAGTACAACACTAAAGTCTAATATTTACAATAAATATCATCCATTTCTCTTAGTTTGCAACAGTAAGAGACAAAGGGAAAAATAACACTGAGGCACGGGGCAGGGATGCGCCAGCTGGATGCGGGAGCAGAGAGGAGCTGCGGAGGCAGAACCAGCTTAGCCGCTGCCATCCCAAGACGGATGAGGAGCAGGAGACACATCCAAGCTGACAGAAGGGAAGAGGGGAACAAAGCAGGAAAGCAGCATATTTGGATGGTGACATGCACGGCTCATTCACCAAACACACACACCTCACGCTTGTGACTTCCACCTTCTGCCTGCCTGCCTGGGGATTACCCACGGACACCAAGGGCCGCGCTGGCCACGGCTTCCCTGGGACCCTGCAGCTCCGAGGCGGCACTGGCAGTATGCTCTTGCCCCTCAGACACAGCTTTTCCAACATCCTGTTCCTTCCCAACACGTTTTGCAAGCTTTTACTTGAGAAGGTGTTTAAGGAATTTGTAGCAGAGCAAGGAATAAGTCTTGGTGTATCTACCTGGCTTATTATCAAAACTTAATAGGAAAAGTCTTTTCGCCCAAACCTTCTGCTAAAGTGCGCCGTGTAAATTTGACAGAAGGTGGAAACAGGGGTGATGGGGCACCTGGCACACCAAGGGAAACTGAAGGACTGACCAAGAGCAGGGAATATAGGGCTTCACCAGAATGCTTTCCTGGCAATGCTGTTTGGCTTCGGCTTCCAAAAAACCAGAGATTTTTAATTGCACTGACCACTCTCTGTACCGTAGCTACAAAAGAGGCAACGAAACACATACCTCACCTTTTCTTTGGCCAACACAGGCAAAAGCAGCAAAAGCTGTGACATAGCAAGGGTTTTCACTCCTCCTTTTGTGCCTAGGAAAGGATAATTCTGCAATTCAGCATGGGAAGCAGTGGCTGCAAAGGCAGGGAGTCAGCAGCTTACAGCTGGTACCGGCACAGGGTCCCAGCCCTGCCAGGGGGGATGAACCAGGTTACCCAGCCTGGCTCACACCCCGTGCTCACCTCCCAGGAGCAGCAGGCCGTTTTCTCCTCAGGTTTTTTAAACACAGAAGGAAAAGGGGGACCTGCCACCCAGGGAACAGCCAGCTTGGACCACGTCCTCACACAACTCCTTCATTTACACAGACACTTCCATCTCGCCAAGGTCAGCTGCTCTCAGGAGATCAGCTTGTCAAGGAGGCTTGTCTTTGTAATTACCACAGACTCAGGATGCCAAATCCATTTTTCACTATTCCTGTCCATGCCATAATATCCTGTGCTGTTTCTCAACCATTTTTTTAGTAGATCAACCCATCGGGGAGAAAACCAGCCAGGTAAGTACCAGATCCTGCCAAGTCTGTTCCTTACTTGCCATTGCTCTAAATCAGCACTGAATGATGCTCACCACCAAGAGCACTTGGGAGAGGCTGGAGACACCCAGGACCCGGACAAGGCAGTGGAAATACTGTGGTTTGTAATTGCAAACCAAGTGCATAAGAGCAGCCTATGAATTCCAGGAAAAAGAGCGGAGAGACAGCACAGCAGGCTCTGCTCTCAATACCACCACAGCTAGGTTTATTAAGGTGTTACCCGGGAGCACTGAGGCTTTGGTTAGTGTAGTAGCAACACCATACATGTTCACACTGATACACGGAGTAAACACTCATTTAAACATGTTTTAAAAAAAAAAAAAAAAAAAAAGAAAAAAAAAAAAAGCTCAAACCAAACCAAAACTTGGTCCAGAAATGAAACCCAAGCAGCCAAAATCAAGTGCATAATGGGGGGAAGCAACTGCTACACAGTAAGAAACAGGGTGAAATTCCAGAGATTTTTTGCGAGTTGTGGGTTGTACTGAAATCAGACTGAAAGAGATGGAGAAAATATATTCCTATATAATAAACATATTTGCATGTAGGGCAAGCAAATCAAAACTTCAAGTTCAGAGAAAGCCAAGACAGTGAAGGAAGCAGCAGTGTAAGGAAATCAGACCAACAGAGATGGGTTTTAGCCTGGAATACTGTTGCACAGCCATTCTGCTTGTAACAGAGTAAGCCAGTGAGCAGGGCACTGTCCCTCACGGGTGATCCACAGGGAGATCCACTCAGACAAGACAAGGATACAAGCTGAGCACAATCTGGGACAAATGATGGGAGTGTTCATTGAGAGGAACCTTTAATTGGATGAAGAAATGGCTTACAGTGCTACAGGTATCACCACTCAACACATTTATTGGTGCATTATTATTGGTCTAATGCTCAGCAAGGAGCACTGGCACCCAGAGCCAGTCACACTTAAAGCAAAGTGATGTCTAAACCTAGGAGCAAAGAGTAAGTTTTCAATGCAAAGTGACTTCAGCAGTTGAAATGATCTAGCTATCAAAGCTGAAATCTGAAAATATCACATGTGTTTTGAAGTCTGTTTGCAGCCTGACCACAGAACTCAAGGAGTCTGAACTCTTCATAGGTTTGTTTTTAAAATGGGCTAATTCAGAAAACTCAGCAAGTTTCCCAAGCCCCAATTCAGAAATGTTAAGGGACACCTTAAAATCCCTACCTATTTAGACTCACCAAGAGAAGGAAAAGTCTCCAAAAGTCGTTCTTCATTGAGATAATTTTGCCAGACACACCGGAGAATACACAACTACAATTTTTTCTACTTTAAAACCAACCTACAGGCACCCCTTTCCTGGGGTCACTTACTCTGCTGCAGGGCAAGTTATGAACTGAAGCTAGAGAAAGGAAAATAAAACATCACTAAAATTTTAAAAACAGAGGGAAATGTTGCCATGTGTCCCATACAGATAAGTAAAAACAATCCCAAAAAAAGCCAGCTTATGGATTGGAGAGTTCTCTTTCTGATAATTCCATTGAAAATTACTCTTCCTTATTTTAAAGAGCAGAGAGGGATCTCTGTCTGTCCAGTCTCTCCAGCCAAGTCCTTTGTCTCTACATCCTCCAAGGACACAGGACTGTGAAGACACATGGTGACAAAGAGGTTTTACTTGCACCAAAGAGGGTCTGTCATTTCAGAATAACTTGCAGACAAGAGGGCAGGTTCTCATTCTTGTCAAGGGACATCAGATTGTAAAACTGGAGCAAAAACTTGACATTTGTGAATTTCAATGGAATTTCAAAGAGACTGCTGAAAAGCAGAAATTTAAAAACAAACTGCCTTTTTTGCACACAGAATTTTTGGGATCTCAAATAAATGCAGAATTAGAGGGAAGAGCACATCAGGCCCTAAACTCAGGCAAAATAAAAGGTGTGGAAGGGAAAAAAAAAACCAAACCAAAGTGTTTCTTAAGCCCTGCTTTAAAGATACCCTGTTCTAAAGAGACCTCAAACAGCAAGCACTACTGTGTACAAAAATAGAATAGCAAGGATGAAAAAACACAAAAAACAGTATGAAAAAAACCCTCCCAAAAATAGATGTACACAAGTTCTATTTTATATTAGTGTATATTACAAAATTCAAACATGCAGTCTCTATTTTGAATGTAGAATGCTCCAGTCCATGAGTACCAGCGATGCTGCTATGTTTTCTTCACAGCATCATCATGTGACAGGGGAAAGTCTTGTATTTTTAACTGATTTCCAACCTCTTTGCTTTTTGCTTGTGCCAGAGTCCCTTCTTTACAGGGCCTTGTGCTGCCATCTGGCAGAGGAGAGGCTCTCAGAGCTGCTTGTCCAAGAGCATGAGACAGCTCTTTTGACGGAGTGATTTTGCAGCTCCCTGCCAACGCCTCAGAGGCTTTAGCACTGCAAAAAGGTGCCTCCTTTTTGACCAGCACAGGACATGTTGCCTCCTTTTTGGCCCCCATGGGACATGGTGCCTCCCAGGGCTTTGCTGGGTGCAAGGACTCTACACAGGACCCACTCCTCGTGGTCAGACCGTCTGTGCTAGAGGGTTTGGCTTTCTCTTGACACTCTCCTACTTGTGAAATGTCCTGCCTTTTTTGTTTCAAATCTCTCTCCTCTTTACAGGAGGCACCCAAATCCTTTCTCGTTTCCACCTCCCCAGACCCAGACATAGTGAGCTTCAAAGGGCCCAGCACACTCTGGGCCAGGGGCATTAACTGGGACACGGAGAGCACGCGCTCGATGGCACCGGGGACGAGGAGTGGGGAGGACACAGGTCCTGCTGGGCTCGTTTTGCTGGAGGTTAAAGCACCCTCTGCCTGGGATGAGCTGGGCTGCTGCTTGTCGGGGCTAGGACTTCTTTGGGACGTTTCACTGGTGCTCCCAGGAGACAGAAATGAGGAGCTGTGCTGTTCCACAGGCTGAGGCGTCTCCTTGCAACCCTTCTCACCGCGGTCTGGGCGGCTCACCGTGACAGGAGTGCTCGTGTTTGCTGTGCACCATGAGGAAAGTGCCAGCAGAGGTTTGGAATCCTGTTTTTTCTGACTGCTTTCTGTTAGCACAGGCTCTTTCAAGTCAAGTTTACCACAGGAGGTCCCAGAGGAATCACCTTCTTCAAGTTCCAGGAGTTTGATTGACGGGCACTGCGTATGTTCTGTGCCATCTACTGGTTTTTGAGTACCTGGAGTTCTCCCGAGATCTTTGATTGCTTCAGAAGACCTGTCTTTTGAACCAAAACATTCCAAAGTTTTGTTTTCTGGCAATTTAGGCTCCTTTGCAGTCGTTTCTGATTTTAGGAATGGCTTTTCTGAATTAGCTAGTTTTTCTGGAGAAGTTCTTGAGGGGAGCTCTGGTGGGGAGGGGTGCACACTGATTTGCAGCGGCTCTGAAACAGGCTTTGCTTGTTGAGCATTTCCCTTCTGCAAATCTTCTGTACCTTTTGGATCTTCAGGTAGAAAGGCATCATCTTCAATACTATCCTTGCTTTCCAATTTAGATGAAAACTTATTATCCTCATTAAAAGAATCTGAGCCTCGGTCTCCACTGCCACGGGGCTTGTCCAGCCTTCTCCCATCCTGACTATCTTCTGAACCATCATCTGTTTCATCTTCAGAAGAATCTACTTCCCTGATGGCCTCCTGCTTTTGCAGAGACTCCCTCCTCTCCACCCTGTCCTGCCGAATGGCACCCAGCTTCCGTGAGCCCGGCTTCTGCAGCATCCCTTTCTCCGCCAGCCCAAGTTTGCCGCCTGTCGTTTCGTTGGCAGATTCCTGCAAGCTCTGGAGGCTGGGATCCCGCTGCAACATCTCCTTCTTGAACTCAGAGTGAGAGATATCCAAGCTATGCTTCCGTGAGGAACCCAGCTTCTTCTCAGAGGAGGACAGAGAGGCAGCCAGCTTCTCGGCTGACTGCACTCTCTTCAGCAAAGGAGACCGAGGGGGCTCGGCACTTTTGGGGCGAGAAATTTGTCTCACCAGTGGTGGAGAGGAGTGTAGTTTTACTGGGAAAGACTGGATAATACTGGAGCTGCCAATTGAGTGTCCTGGCAAAGGAGATGGGGAGCGCTGTGGTGACGTGGACTGCGGGGTTGGTGACGGAGTGTGAGCCAGGGGGGACAGAGGGATGTTTCCTGCGGATTTACGCCTTGGAGATCTGTACTGCCTCTGGAGCTTTGGTGCCAGGCCATGCAGAGAGCTGGGTCTGATGTGTCCAGAGCTGGCTGGAGAATTGGGAACACTGGAACTGGGAGAGCTGCTCTGGGAAGAATTACCACCAACTTAAAAGGAGGAAAAAAAAAAAAAAAAAAGAAAATAAATACCAAAAAGATTAATACATATTTGGCCATTAAAACAAGTTATTGAAAGTAAGTCAAGACACAATGTCATGTTACTCCAAAGCACAGCAGTAATATTGAAGGCAACATTGCCAGGCTTCTGATGGAAGTTCACATCATTAGCACCCAACACCAGAGCACAGTAAGAAACATTCAGCTATGAGAACACTTTTCTGGAAAAAAAACCCCTTTGATCAGACAAACCACGTGTTTCATTGCTATTCTCTGGATGCAAATCTCTTTATTCCAGCAGCTGATTCAATTTTCAAATATGGCTTTGCCACACTGTTTTGATTTCTTTTTTCTGAACACAGAAAATGTGTCAAACTGCTATGAAAAGATTGCAACTTACAACACACATTTTCATCAAAGTGGAAGGATGCTGTAGTACATTCTCAAAAGGATGTATGGATTTTCATCTTTAAATGAATCAATGAACAAGAACACATCCATCCTTAAGGTAATCGACATCACCACTGTCATTTGCTTCACAAAGAGACCTACTACCTGCAGCTGTGCATTTTATTTCCAAAATGAATCAATCAGCAAAAGTCTCCTCTAATATTTTCTTTTCTTGTTTGACTGGATTTTTTTGCTTAGTTTTGTTTTGTTTCATGTCTTTTTTTTTTTTTTTTTTTACCTGAGTGTACTGACTCTGGAGTGGATCTGTAGCTCTGGGTTGGTGACCGAGGAGACAGGTTGTGAGTTGGAGAGCCAGGCACACTTTCTCCAGATGACAGAGACCGGTTCAGGGATGATAAACTCCGGCTGGTGTGAAGCAGCGATGCTTGTTTAGTGATCTTCCTCAACAGAGAACTCTTCTTCTTACTGGGGAAGAGCATGCAAAAGGTGTTTACAAGCCCAAATGATTTATTTAGCTTTACAAGCAGATTTCAGTCAATTTTGTGTCACAGTAAAAGAGAAAAAAAAAAAAAAAAATCCAAGAAAAGAAGAACTAAAGGAAAAATCTGCTGATATACATTATCTGCAAATGGATTTGAGAAAATCTCTCTGAAGATCTCTTACTTTATCTTGGTTACCCTTTCATTTTAACAGAGAAACATCAAAACAAACCTTTCCTGACCATCCTTTGTTTTACTCTTCTTGTTCCTACGAGCCATCTTGGATTTGTAGCTGGCTTTTCGAGCTGGACCAACTTTGATGGATGTGTTCTCAAATGGTGTGGTGGAGATGGACACTTTATTTCCACTCTGTCAGACACAAAACAAAGAAACATTGCTTACAACATGGTTATTTGAAGCAGATCTGCAGGCCAAACAGGTAGGCTGCTAGTTTATTGCTGCCTGCCATTTTGTAATCCTTTGTCAAACTCCATTTTTCCCCTCAGCATTTCCACCTATCATTTATTAAGGAATTGCCGAGAGAGAGCCCTCATTAGTCAGGCTTTCACAAATGATTAGCTCAGACCCCAGATGGTAGGTAAAGCTTCCCAGAGCAGGCAGAACACAGCATCTGACCTCTCCCATTGAGATCCCAAATGACTCAATTTAATACTTGTAATACTTGGAAACTTGAACAAAGTGATATTCTGTCACCAATCCTATTCCCAGTGCTCTGACTGATGGCAGATGTGAGAATATCAGACATCTATCATGATGAATCTGCAACACAGAGCATGGCTTGTCTATCTCATGTTAAAAAAATAATAATCCTGACTGCTCCTCTTTTTGCAATCCCAAAGACTTCTGTCTCTTGGAACAGTCCAGAACTTTAGGGGTTTTTTTCCTGTAAATGCATTCTGCTCAGAGAGGTATCAAACACAATCATCCATTTAACTGGATAACTTCAACACCAACCAGCACAAAGCTGCTCTGAAGTACCACCAGGTGCTGTGTGCACACTTGTATTTCAGACAATGCCAACATTTTATGCTCATGTTTTCCAAAACGTAACGGCGCTGCGCCCCTACCTTCAGGATCAGCTCCACCACTTCGGTGTGCACCAGCCCGTGGACCGGCTCCCCGTTGACGTGGGTGATCAGATCCCCTTCCCGCAGACCTGCTTCGTTCGCTGGACCCCCTTCCTCCACGTGCTGCCAACAACAAGGGGTGACTGCTTTGAGAAGGGCAACCTGCAAGAGCTCTGGCCAGATGGGACTCAAAGCCCATCCGTGTCACTTCCTGCCACAGCCAACATCAGCTGCTGCTGAAAGAAACCACCCCTGGCACAGCCAAGCACAAACTCTGCGCTCTTCCACTCCTCCCCAGCATCCTGGGCATCCAAGGCAGCCAGGATGGTTAAGCTGATCGAGAGACCAGCTCTTCCCAAAGCAAAAGGCTTAACACACTTCCAGAAATTTTACAGCACTCAGGAATGTTACCCAGATGCTCTTGATTTCCAGACAAACATTCAGTCTTTTTCAATTTCTTTGCCATCCCAAATCCAGCATCCTTCCATGTACATGCTGGAACACAAGGTGGCCAACAGACTTTTAAGGAAGACTCTGCCATGTGTTTCAGGTGCCTATATTCCATCTCATCTCAAACTCAAGCTCTCAAAAAAAGAGCTTATTTTTCCACTTTCCATCCTTTATTAACCTATCCAACACCAGACTTTTCCCCTGTGAGTACACTGCCTTTCCCTTGTCCCTGGTCAGGAATGTAAGCCTCCTTCACCGTGAGGGGACAGATGTGCAGGGGAATGCACATCTTTTGCACTAGCTAGGAAAGATTCCAAATAAGTATCCTGGTAAACTCAGCATTGTTCAAGAAAACAAGAGAGAGGCAAGGCAAAACTTCAGTTTCAGATTATTTCTCTCAGAATGAGTATTAAATAAGGACCCAAGCGCATGAAATCTGTATTATCCAATAAACACAGAAGTGCAAGGAAAAGAATTAACCACCTTTACCCTGACTGCATTCTCCCTACCTACACAATCCTAACAACACTGCTTCAGGGAATGGATCATTCCTAGAAGTCATCTACACTAACACAAAAGGAACACAGAGATCAAGTACCAGCAGTAGTGGGAAGGAAGCAATACAGACATGGAAACCAGACCTTTTAGCACAGCTCACAACAACTAAGCCAAGAGCTAAATCCCATGGCAATCAGCATAGCAGCAGTGATGCTTTAAGGCTTGTAATCAATTCCAAGCGACTGCTTGGAAAACCCCAGCAGACTGAACTGATCAGAAGCAGGTTATAATCACTAACACAAGTCTGAATAAATTAGCTATAATGGGCCCTCATGCAACAGCCCCAATAAGGAGAAAGAGGGTATGTACACAGAAACATGCTTTAAAGGATGTGCTGCAGGTGAAAGAAGGTGGATTCATGTAACCAGGGTAAAAAGAAGGAAAGAAAGGTTGCTGTGGTTCTGTGATGGGCTTGAAAACTACCGGGAAACCCAGAGTGCTGTTATTTATCTATTTAGTTAGTTAGTTAGTTATAAAGGGCTCCCCCCCACCCCAAAAAGGTAACTTTGGGTGTGATTAAGGAGAGAGAAAACAAGGTGGCAAAACACAATTTCCAAAGCTAAACCCCACGCCCCTGGCTAGATGCATTTGTGGCCCCGAGGGTCCTCTTTTGAGAAAAGCAGAGACCTACCCAGACCATGTGATGCACAGTGTAGATATCACTGTCACCCATATAGACGCGAATGGCGCGCAGAGTGAAACCGTATTTCTTTCCAGCCCGATGGATGATGATTGGTGGTTTCAGGTTTGCGATAGCAGGAGAAAAGTCACGGCTGGGTGAGGAGTCCCTCGAAGATGGGTTGGAGGAGAGAGAATGAGGTGACATTGGACTGGCCAATGGAGAACACGTGTGGTGATCTACAGTGATGACACAAAGGTGGGCAAAAATTAGGAAAACAGGCCTCCAAAAGAGAGAAAATTCTTGTTAGAGAACAGCTATGAAACCAAATCTTCCAAAGGTCTTAAAGTGGTGGCCTTCACCAGAGCTGGGTCTGTCTGCAGCTTCAACTAATTCATGCTTTGTAATACAAATAGCAGGGTTTCCAAAAAGGCTCATTTGGAGGTGTACATTTATTGCAATGCTCATACAGAATTGTGGTTGGGTCACAGTGTTTTCTACTTCTCTTTCCAGGATTTACAACCCATCATGAGCATTTACTCTAGGCACAATCCTGCAACACCCCATTTCCAGGTTATTATGCATTATCCCACTCCAAAAGATCAGATGCCTCTAGATCTTGGTGCAAGTTACACATTGGTGCTGAGATAAATCCAAAACAGTTAGTATTAACACAAAAGGAATGAGTAGGTGATCAGACAACAACTACATCTAGGCCGTTTTGTTAGTGTTTTAAATTCACAGGGGAAAAAATATTTAACCCTAAAATAATAGCTACTGCAGGGACTTTGCTGCTGCAAAGCAACATCACAGGTGTACTTTTGAGTGAGTTTCCCAAATGAACAGCCATGGGATGGGCTGTCAGATAAACCACCTGACTGCTTGCTGGTGGAACAACAACCACTTTTTAAAGTACAAAACAAATACAGAACTCTCATTTTAAAATGAAGCTGGTCAACATCAGTAAAATAAACCCAAGAGCAGGAATGCTAAATGCAGCTGTAGAAGGTAATCTCTAATCCATTAAGAAACACCTGCCCAATCGCCCAGCACATATTTACCTCGCATATGAGAGCAGCTCTGGAGAAACCTTTGCTGGGTGATTAAATACACATTTTAGAGGTTTTCATGAGGGAGTCAGTAGTTCAAAAACCAACTGACACCCAAAGCACAAGAAATGTGATGTGCATCACCATGAGGCTGCCAAGAGCACGTGCATTCCTGCCTCCAGCTCACTGCTGGAAGGAACAGGTGGGCATTGCTCATGGCCCAGCTGCACTCCCTGCTCCCATCTAGGCAGGAATAGGTACAGCCCTGGAAATACAGCATGGTCTTATCCCCTGGAAAGGGACAAAATCCCTGTGGGGAGAAAGTCCTTCTAGTGAACCAGTCTGTCACAGCTCAGTATGGAGCTCTCTAGGAGTTATCACCTGTCACTGGGAATTGTAAAGGTCTGGTTTTGCCTGTAGACAGAGCTGGGCCAACAAGGTGAGCAGTTCAGCATTGGCTTAGTGAGTTACATACACTGTTCAGTTCTCGAGCACTCAATCTCAACCAAGTTATCTAGAGTTTCTGAAACTTATCAGTGCATAAATGCACCAGACACATTCCATTCCCAAACAGCACTGTAGTTAACATGTGACATCAAAAAACCTTGAGGGTTAAAATCATTCTGTGTCTCTAAGATCCCCTTGCTGCACCATTGTCTAGAGACCAGCTAGGAGTCAATTTAAACAAATTCAGGGGAAGAACAGGGCCCAGCTGCCATTTGCAGAAGCTGCAGTCAGACCACAGGCACAACGCTCGTGTCTGTGGCACAGCAGTGCTCATCAACCTGCGAGCAGGAAATATTAAACCGACTGTAAAAGTTCTCTCCCCTCCTGCCAGCCAAGGCATTATTCCAGGAGAGCGAGGGGGGCGGATCTGTCTGCAGACCTTTTGTTTAGTGCTTGCAGATTCTGACAATGCCTCACTCAAGGCATTTCTTACCTGAGGGAATCAGGAGAGACAAGGCAGTAGCGGATGCTGATTTAATCACTTTATTGACAGGTCTCGAGGTACGTTTCTCCCCTGATTCCCCAGAGAGCAACCTGTGTCGTGCCCGCCGCACTGCCAAATCGCTGATGGCTTTTGGAGTGGTAAAGTCTGGGCCTTCATTGCTATTACTGCGAGCTCGTGGATCAGAGAAATCTGCAGTGCTCCCAGCTACAGTTTAAATTAAAACAGATTAGAACCACAGGGAATTCCTAACAGTCTATTCCCCTACAGGCAAAATACATTAAATCAAAGTCATGTTTACATGAAGTCCAAGAGTAAATTTTCCTAAGAAGAAACCCCAGGGCTTGAATTTTTATTTACAGAAATGGTGTTATTCTGAACACAGAAAATTAGCAGCTTCTATTCTGTGGAAAAGCTCACTAATGAAATCACATTGTGCAGTGGCAGTTCCATGAATCCTGAAGCTGTGGTGCATTTCTGCACGCCATTTCAATGGGATCATTCACAGATGAAAACAGGTTTATAGAAAGTTCTGCATTTTTACAACCAGCAAGAACTGTCCATCTTTAAGTCAAAACTGCTCATAAAAGAAGAGCCAGATTCTACTGGAGCTGCACATAAAAAATCCACTTTAAGAGAATACTAAGGTACTCAAGTTAAGGAAAGTAAAAATGTGGATTGTAAAGACAACCTTAATTTGTCCCCTTCCGTGTACCACTGCAATTTAGTCTTGAATTACTTAACCTGCTATAATTATATATAAAATGCAAAGTAATCTTGAAGATCAGACCGGGCATATAACAACAGCAGATGCTGGGGGTCCTGTACTCAAGGCTGGTGCCTCTGTCCCCCATGTGATACCTTGAAGGGGCACTGTGAAAATACAGTAATTAGAATTTACAAGGTGCTTAGAAATGGAAGTGGTGAGCATCACAGCAAGCCCACAAGGGAAATTAATCATTCTGTCTTCAAAAGCAAATTTTAAGCAGCATGCAATAAATAAAGCCTAAGGGCCACATTTTGAACAATGAGGACAGAACAAAACATTGATCATCGTTATTTAAGTGGGCAGCACTGCTCTGCATACTAAGTGAAGCAGGAAGTATCATGAAAATAAAAATTCAAAGCACCATTACCATAGACCCAACACTTAAGAGCCACAGAGTTTCAAATCAGGCTCCCAGACAATGAGGAACCCAGATTCGGAGGCTGCATGGGAAAAGGTGCCATATAAATTAGAGAAGCATTCAGAGACAGTGAGAGGAGTTAAACTCCTTTCAAGCCTCTGACTTGGAGACACTGAAGCACTGGTTTTCCTGGATTCCATGCACTAGATCAAAGACTGCTCTAATGTATCTAGCTCAGGGGAGCAGGCTGCCCAGGAGAACTTCATTTTTGCCAATCTCATATTGCAGATACCCAAATTAGCAATGGAAGTATTCTTGCCATTTTTAATAGCATGTTTCTAGGCTCTTAGCATGAAATTGAGAACCCAAGGTTTCACTTATGGCACCTATGCCAAGCAAGTATGAGGCAGTTTCCTTCTTTCACTTTTGCACCTCCTCTTTACACAATAGCATCACCAGGCCTCTTCAGGGAGCATGGACAATGAAGAGAATGGGACAATTTTGAAGGAATTTCACAGACTGAATTGCAGAAGAGGAATAATAAGATGTCGGAATCTTTGGCTTTACTCTGGAGGCAAATTTATTCTAAGGCATTTCCACCTTCTGCCATCAGCCCTCCATCACACCTGCCTGGTGCTGTCCACCTTGTCCATTCTTGCTGCCATTCTGACTACTTCCTCAGTACCTCTTTCCATTTTCAATGCATCACAATTGCTTTGCCTGCTTGCTCCCAGTTTCTACCAGCAGCTTGTTCCTTATTTTCTTACTCACTTAGTCCTTGTTATTCAACCCTACAATCTAGTCCTTCCCCTGACTATGCCATCTTTCTCAAATTTTCCTTTGCCAACCTTCATTTCAACTTCCCCTCTTTCTTCCATTGTTCCAAACTTCCTTTTTTCCCCCATCCTTACTACTTCCCAGTAGTTCCCAGCTCTGGCTTCTTCTGTTCCCAGGAACATGCAGCTTCACCCCCTTGTCTTCCCAATGTCCTGAAAGGGGCAGGAACTGGGAACACTCCAGCACCCAGAGCTCAGTCCTGCACTGCAGCAGTCCTGCACCACTGTAGGAAGGTTCAGCCTTGCCCAGAGCTGGAGAAAAGCCCCAGGACAGTCAAAGTTGCTGAGAAATCAAACACTGACTTCTAAGAGCCACTCTCCTACGTTCAGGCTGCAACTGGATGAATTTTGTCACATTTGTCTGTTAAAATAAGTAGCATATCCCTGACACAAGCCCCACTTCTCCAGCATATTTCAAGTCTCTCCAAAGTCTTGGGATGAGCAAAATCACAAGGAGCAGGGATCTGTTGGTACGGCTGACACCCACATTCTCCAGGTCCAACTCAGCAGTGATCTGTTCTGATTAACACTTAAATTAATGCTGTCTCAGATAGGCACCCAGTGGTTATAAATAGGCATAGATCGTATGAATCTCAAGCATTGAGAAGATCTAAATCAATTTGAAGTGACAGGACTGAAATCTAAGATGCAATTTTTGAGGAGATGAAACCACTGGCATTATTTCAAAGCCAAGCACATTCACAAAACTACACTAAAATATCTACTTAGCATGTGGCAGTCACGTGCTCTGACACCCAGAGCCAGTTCTAGAGTTAATCTCTGCAAGGTAACACGGCCTCCTTGGGGACCAGGACACCAAGCACGTACCTGTCAGCGCTGAGGTGCTGCCGGCGGCCGTGGAGGGGGTGGTGGCTCCGGCATCCCCTTCCAGCTGCAGCTCGTGCTCCACAGGCTGTTCTGGAATGGGCACGGGCAGCCCCTCCCGCGCCTGCACCGTGGACAGCAGCATCCCCTCGGACTGGGGCCGTTTGAGGGCGGCCCCCTCGTCCTCGGCGGAGATGGCGAAGCGGGGCATGTCCAGGAGCCCCGAGCAGCGGCGCCGCACCGTCAGCGGCGGGCTGGAGTCGCTCTCCGTGTGCGAGGACTCGGACATGGACAGGCGCTTGCGCAGGCTGGGGGCAGAACCGAGACAGGGACCCCCAGGTGAGTCAGGGGCTGATCAACTTGGAAGGGTGAAAACAGGGCACAGACCCAACTCAGGCACATCTGAAGCCAATTTAAGGTGAAGTCTGGTGGCCAAGCTACAACAGTGGGAGTTAAAACAACAAAGGCTTGGGGCATCACCTGAGTTTAGAGTTCCAATTGTTAAGCTTCTAGGAAAGGAAGGGATAAACCCCAAGAAAAACACAGTACAATGAACACTATATTAAATATCATTAAAAAAAAAAAATCACAATTGCAAAATGCAAATCATCCTCCATGTTCCTTTTGGAATTAGTTGAATTTTTCTTTCGAAGTTGCTCTAAATTAGAAGCCAGGAAGGCCTAATGTAAAATGAAGTGCACCTCAGTTATGAGTGCAATCTGTAAAACATTTTTAAGGGAGTCGTATAGACTAGGTCAGAGCTATTTTATGCTCTTTCTAATGCCAAACATTAGTGTAAAAGTTTTACAGGGGTTGCACAAAATGAGAGACATCCCTTTTATAAGGTAAGTTTTCAATAATGCCAGAAACATGGCAGGTATCCAAATTCTGGGTATTCATATATTTTACTGACACTTTTTATTAGAGCACAAGATCTTTTGGGCATATTCTGAACTTTTGAAACTTTGAACTTTCCTAACGATTTCTCTGCTTTGTAGCAAAAGGTCAAAGTCTGGCAACATGAGAATTTGCATTAATTTAAGGAAAAAACTGACAAGGGGTACATCTCTGACGTAACTAAGAAATCTGCCCTTAAGGTTAGAAAACCTTTAAATTCATTAAAAGTATTTGCCACAGATTTAGAAGATGTTAGTACTTAACTAGATACATTTAAGGACCGTATAGCTTCTACACTTTTGGCTATTCAATCCAGGCTTCTCCTGTGGAAATACAACATATGATGCTCTCCTCACCTAACACTGGTCATAGGAAGTCATGGCTGGTCTTTTTTAGCTGCTGTGGGAACACAGAAGCCTCAGTTGCACAGAACTCACATTTCAGGAGACCCAATGACCCAGCTGCGGTCCCGGCTCTTCAAGCCCCCCAGGCTGTCCAGCCGATCATCCTTCTCCTCACTCAGGCTCCGCTTGGTTGGTGGTGGAGTCTTCCTCTCCTCGTGGATGGAAAGTCTTTCCATGCTGCTGTACACCTGCATGCAGCAAAAGATCCTTCTGTGCAGGGAAAACCAACCCATGGAGCCTTTTCTGAGCAGGGGGGAAAAATCTCCTCTTGAAATTTCCCCCTGAGAGTGTGAACTTGGTCATGTTCTTTGACCAAGTAACTCAGTGCAGGTGTGACATGCTTAAGGTGTGCCAGGGAGGAAAAGAAAAAGGCCCAGCTTCAGAAACACCAAAATGCTTTTCTACAATAGCACCCAACACTTCTCCTTTGAAAACACAACAGAAATACTGACAAACTTTGTGAAATTACTTTGATTTTTGGTTTTAAAGATTCTCAAATCTAAGAGGAGCTATTGCTAAAGACAGCTGCACAACTCTTGAGGGCTGGCATCTGGATCTTGAGATCTAACTACACAAATTCACTTCAGTGATAGGCATCATGCTCATGACCCCATTTCATTATCATCAGTCTATCAGCATTGCCCCAAGCTTATTTCAGAACAAAAAAGTCCTGCCCTCCTCAAGGAATCTACTATAATGCTGACAGCTTAATGAAAGTGCCTTTCTTGGTTTTACAGCCGTCTTTAAATAATTAAATGATTAAGCAAAAAAAATCCATCCTTTTAAAACTACACTTGACTGTGGACCTAATTTACATAAGAAGAGATTAATGAAAATAATGTTATTAAAAATTCAGAGCATCAACAAGATAACTATTAATAAATCATATGGCTGAATTGTCAGACAAGAATTTCAAAATATAATGAGCCTTTTATGCCTCCCACATTACAAATGCTGTATAATTTTCCAGGTCTTAAAATAAATTCATTAAAAGTGAACTTTCTTTCTTTGTGGCAAAAACATTGAACCCTAAAGAAAAGCTTCAGTCTAACAAATGAGTAATACTCATGGTGAGAAAAGGCAGAGAAAAGAAACTCTTACGTACTCATGAGAACTTTTTCAAAATACCAACTAATCCTCAGTTCCAATTTTAAACATACTTTTAGTGATGCAAATCAGGAGCAACTCCATAAAATTAAGAGTAACTGTTATTTAAACCACTGTAGCCTGGCTGAATACAAAGAATGAACTGGTCCTTAAAAACTGACTTCAGCAGTGGAAAACTGAAGGAACTGCTGTCTAAAACCAAAATAGCTTTCAGAGTTCCTAAGTAAAACTCCTACTCCCATCTCACTAAGAGGAGAAATACAATTCATAAAGTAGCTGCATTAAAACAGCATTTCTTCTCCCTTCTGCCCCTCCCAAACATATTATATTTTATCAGGAAGACCAATGCAGTTCTTTCCCTCCAGTTATGTATTTGAAAACACCAGAAGTTTTATGTTTTGTAGAACTCAGGTCACTCCTGCTGCTTTCCTCTGGACTGCCTTTTACTGATCCATGTTCATTCTCAAGAACACTGCCCAGTACAGACCAAAACACCCCAGAGATGGCCTTCCTACTGGTAAGCCCAGTATGGAAAAACATTGCTTCAATAATTTGGCACATCTAACTCACAAAGGATTATGTGCTGAGACCCCTCTCTTTGAAATTGTCACCTTGCTTTTTGCTCCTCAGGCTATATTTGAGACCATGAGTGATGGAAACTTCACTGATGTTCTTACCCCTTTGATTTTAGACCCTTATTCCTAATTTTAGAATCCATTTTCATCCCAAAAACATCTTGTCACGTATGGAAGGTCCTTTCAGAATGACACTGCTCAAAGCAAGTAAGTCTTGGATACTCCCTATGCCAACATCCAGGTCACTGGTAAAAACACCAAAAACTGTATCAGATGCAGAAGAGACCTACACAATGCCCTGCATGTTGGTAAAACATTAAGAAATATAAAATGTCATTCTCCAATTATTCTGGTACTCACCTTCTAACAGGCCACAAGCTACCACAGAATAAACAATTCATGCATTGTTTTCTTTCCTCAGTGAATCCTACACACCATGAGATCCCACAGAGCATCCACATGATTAAAATCTGCCCCATACGAAGCAAAGAAACCGTGTTCCTCTCTAGACTGTTTTCTTTCAACAAGTTAGCATGCCCCTACCTTGCTGAACCTGGGTGAGCAGGACGAAAACTGCCGAATTTCCACGTGATCATCATCATTAGTGTCCTCTTCCTCCTCTGAATCCAGGTGCTGGTACCGTTCTGAACGGGCTGGGAACAAGACATGGCACTTGCATCAGTGTGGGGAGTGCTGGTAACTCACACCTCAAGCATTGCTACTTAACATTCAAAAGAACTTTGAATGTTAATACACCATGCAGGGTGTATTTCTGTTAATACTGAAACATACCCAGCCAGATTTTGCTCATCCCATGCAATTGCCAGTGAAGAATATCTCCTTGGCAATGAATTTATCTTATCCTGTCAGCTGTATTCCATTCTGGAAGCAGCTGATACTCAAAAGATGTGTAATCCTACAGACCCTTCATGGTAGGGATATTTCTTCCCTACAGGAAACAATCATGGGGAAGGAAACACGGAAACAATTCACTGTCTGACTTTCCAATAAACAGCTTTTTGACTGTCCATCCTGCATACATACATGCATACATAAAGCCTACTTAAAAAAAATAAAAATAGTTACCCCAAAAGAGAATCTCCTCTTTTCCTTCCTGCAACTAGGAAAAGGATTAGATTTTGTGAAAGAAAATGGGCAAGCAGCCAATATGCAAAGCTATTTTTAATGCAAAAACTTCTTCCAAAGAGATTTCGTGCTTTGAGATTTGCAGCACTGGATTTCTAAGCCGGGCACACTGGATTTTGTGGGGTGGGCACTAATAAGTTTGGCTACAGAAAGCTGTTAACTACACTGAGCCAAATTTGCTGCACCACATCAGCCAAAAAGCTACTTTTATAAATTTTAACATTTTCTGCATTAGTGTTTATAACAGCAATGCCAACTCCTATCAGTGTCTATGTGAGATATTTCCTGATGTGAGAATTCCAGCCTTTACAAAGGACTCACACCAAGGTCACTCTGATACCGAGTGTGCCCGGGCACGTGGGGAGTTTCCCATCCTTCTGACTTGACAGACCCAGTGGCTTTGCTTTTATCCACCAGGATCTGCCTGTGGCTGCTGCACTGGGCCTCTGCCAGGTGCTGACCCAACTCAGTGACAAAAGCTTCCACATCCTAGTGGTGAGAACACCCCACCACATCAGTTTCTCCATGTATGCTGTACCAGTACAACCTCAATTCATGTAGAAACCCCAGCTCTGCCCCCTCTGCACAGCTTGACTCCAACTGCTCTCTGCAGGAACCACACAAGAGATTTCCCAATCTTTCTCTCCCAGTCCTACCTCTCCAAACAAGCCCCAGCCTAAAAGCCCCTTCCCCAGACTGGAAGAGCATGATCTAAATGGAGTCACTGCTTGTGCAGTGTGAGAGCCAAGAGACTGGAGGCAGCTGTTCTCTCCCTCCTTTCACTCTCAGCAAAGCAGAGGAGCAGAGCAAAAATGTGCTTCACACAGATTCAACCAGTCCCATGGCCCCAAAATGGGAGAGAGTCCATTGATGTAGAGCAGAAATTTCCATATCTCAGGGAACTGATACAGTCAGTATCCCATTCTGCAGCTGGAGAGGGGGGAAGACCTCACCCTGACCAAGCTCTTTCCACCTGCTCAGGTCCCCAAGTCAAATGAGAAAAATTAGGGAGCAGAGGCTCTGGGAACAGAGATCTCTCCATCCCTCCTGTGATGCTCCTCCCTTCTCTCCCAAGAGCACTGACTCTGGGGCTTATCTTGAAATACCAGGAATCTTACATAGCACTGATACCACAGCAGTTCCCAGACATTTATACACAGCAGACAGGCACTTCATATCTCATTAGAGTTAGTAATGCTAAAATAAAGTGATACACTTGCAGCATTCAAAGTAATAATAATATAAAAAATAATTCAAATTACTTCAAATCTCTTAAGAATTTTCCCCACATACTTGTCTTCAAGATCTAGGGTTTGTTTTGAGGTTTTTTTAAAACATTTATTGGCTGAAAACAGTCACTAGGGAAAGATCTTATTGCTCAAAAACTCAAGGAATTTGAATTTACCAAATGCTTTGGAAGAAGTTTAATGAACCCAGCATGACAATGGCAGCACCTCTCGCTGCAGGCCCATGGCTGGCAGGACCACAGGCACCAGTGAAAGGCCAACTGACTCCAGCAGCAACATTTTTTCATTTAAAATTAATTTGCCTTCAAAGAAACCTTACTTGGCATTCAACAGAAGACTCCAACTGTGGGATGAATTCAGCTTTCTGCCGGAGTAATCCATTCCAGTCCAAATCTTTAAAGAACCGATGCTGCTTCACTTCAAAGGCACTACCTGAAATAAGCACCTTTTATTGCAAAGTATTTCTTTCAGCATTTGCATAACATAAAAAACAAACCCTAAAAATGTCAAGAGCCTAGGAGAATGTACTAGAGTACTTTCAAGTCACACATTTTCCAGGAATTTTGAGAAACAACTTATCCTTTTACCAAAGTGGTCATGCATGATAAAACCTGAACAAGATTTCCTCCTTCCCACCTACTCTTCCTGTTTAGCAACAACACAGATGCTGGAAGATAGCATCTGCTGTTGCATTACACAGTGACTTTCAAGATTAGGAGCTAACACCTTAATTTAAAATTTTCAAACTCTAAACAGCATCTTGTTCAGAACTGAATAAAGAGAGCCAAGTCTGAGAGGCACTTAACAATGTGAGTGACAACTCACAACTCCACTGTTGTGAATAAACTCATTCATGTGCCTAGAACAAGACAGGGCTCACCTATCTTCCTGAATTAGTATCTACTGTTATTAAGCTCAGAAGCTTGGGTACCCAGAAGGAAAAAGTAAAGACTATCTGTCTACCAGTTTATGCATTTTCTTCAAATGAAATTAATATTCATAGCAGATACTACTGTCTTTTCAGAAAAGAGAAGAGCAGAGGAAAAGAGATAAAAGGTTTGCTGAGTGCCAGTGGCACTATGAAGTGCCAAGTGAAACAGCAGTCTCAGCAGGTATATAAGAAATCAAAAAAAATCAGTCCATCAACTCATTTTATAAGGCTAGAAACTCTACATCTTTTCCATGACAGCAACATCTTTCAAATACATGGATTTTAAATAGAGAAGAACATGTGAAAACCATCTGATATCATTATTAATTCATGATCTATTCATCACCCTTGTGTGCACATGTGCTAAGTCTGCTGAATACATGTGCCTTTTGGAACTGTTATAAATTTACCTCTAAGCTTTTTTTTTTTTTATTCTTAAAGTGTAGTTTTGCATTGAAAATCCCAAATTAAATTAAACTAATCAAATCAATGAAAGATGAGCTGTCATGTGAAACCACAGTGTTGCACAAATTACAACAAGAGTGTAGCGAGAGATTATTTATGATTATTTACAATTATTTACTATGAGGAAATGAGAAGTGTTGGTTTGTAAAACTTTAAATCTGACATTATAAAACAGAAAGACTGACACACATATCTGACTTTGCCAAAAAAATTATCAGACTTTGCTGTATGTTTGGAGAATTCTACATTACAGGCCCCTAGGAACGGGAAAGCTTTCATTTATTTTATTATACCCAGAAATTCACATCCCTGGCAAGGATTAAGCCCCTACTCAAACAGAACTTCAAAGAAATCTGATTGTACACTGTTCAAATGCAGACACAACCCTCAAGCCTATAATGGAAGAACACAGACCAGAGAAGTTATGTTGCCAAGCTGACAGTGCCCCTTTCCTGTTTCCCAGACAAGACAGTAGTACCTGCCTGGCTCACAGACATTTGACACGAATTCCCAGAGCTCCACCACACTGAATCCAGTATAAACTGCTCCCCAGCTCTAGATGAGCATTCCTCAACACAAGTGGGTGTGCATCACTGGCAAGGTAGCTTCATCCCCTGCTTCTGTGTTTTCCTCTGCACAAGGTTCTCACCTGTTCCCATTCTTTCCAGAGGATTTTGGCGGAGAAGCTTAGAAATGAGGTCCTGGGCATCTGGTGGTAGTGCATCATCTCCTTCTGGCCAGGCAATTTCATCTGGGGACAAAAAGAGACTTGACATTTTCTACCAGCTTCCCAACTAATTTGAAAAACCATTCACACTCCAACACCTCAAAGTGCAGCATTGAGAACTGCCCCACAAGCGTAAATACCTTGAATTCAGCAGCTTAATATAATTCAAGCATTGACATTTTTCAAAATGCATAAAATTCAGCATCAGCTAAAGCTGCTGTCAATCCAAGCAGTGCTTGTGGAGACAAAAAAAAAAGCTTTAAGGACTCTATTAATAAAGTATGAAATGGGACTTCCATGACAATCCATAAACAAAGACAGTGACAATACTGTGGCTGTATCTCCTGCCTGCACATTCCGCAGTCGTTATACTTGGAACAGAGAGAACAATTCACAGGTAACGATTTCATGCATCATATTTAGTGCTTTGCTGAAATTTGCTTTTTACAAAGGACATTTGCCAAGTGTGTTAAAAATTTACTGCTTCAGAAAGCATTTCCAATAGGAAATGATTTCACTGGCATCATCACCGAGTGAACACAAAGCAATTGTCTGTCCAACTTCAAGCATGAGACAGGTTTAAAACACCACAAGATGAGAAGGTACTGAGTACAACAACTTCAATGTATTGTGCTCAGAATTTCCTTTCATTTCACTTATACAAAAGTACTAAATTGCATTTAGACCTACAAAAACAATAACCAAAATTAGCCTGAATTAGACCAATTGGTGACTACTCCTTTCATATTCTCCATCATTTAAGTTAAAAGACACAACAGGAAAATCTCCACATATTTTTCCTCAATCCCACAAGGATTTCTATGACTCCCACACCATAACAGAACTATTTAGGAAGTTAACACAAGTTTCCATAGCTGTAATCAGATTGGAGATGATCTGACACAGAAATTAAGAAATAATAAAATTATATATTAATATTATATATATATATAAAAATAAAATATATAAGACATTAAAACATAACAGATTAAACCACAGTATATTAAAATATAATGTAATTACATATTAATAATTCTATAAGATAAATTATATATTAATATTATACATTATATTAAATATATAATTTATATAACATTATATCTATATAATTATAATTATATAATTATATGTTATATATCTTTTATACCTAGTACTTCCTGACTGAGCTGTGGATCCTCAATATTTTCAGAGCACATTTTGAAACCCCTTCAGAGCCAGTGCAGAAACTTACCACTGATCACTTGTCCAAACAGCTCCTCAGGTGTGTCCCCAAAGAAAGGAACACAGCCCACCAGGAACTCGTAGAGGATAATTCCCATGGCCCACCAATCCACAGGCTTCCCATAGCCCTGGCGCAGGATCACCTCTGGTGCAATGTACTCTGGAGTCCCACAGACCTCAAGAGAAACATGCAAGAAATAATAAATTTACAAATTGTCAAATATGTGTCAAAGCTTAGTTTGTCGGGGGTTTTTTTTTCTTTCTTTTTTTCTTTCCCCCCATCAGAGCTTTACAAGGAAGTTATAATGTTTTGCCACTAACCACTTCATGCTGTGAACTACATCCATAGAGCAAGAGTCTATATTTGAAGAAGAATATTCTGTTCATTATCTCCACAGAAATAACATCATATGAAATTAAATGTTCCTAGTGTGGACATGTCAGCTAAGTAGTTCTTTGGTGCATGCACAGGAAAGCATATGGGAAAAATGCATATTCTGTGTGTTTAGGTCTGACAGCTTGATGGATGTCTGCTGGCACAGCTACAGCTCTCAGGAACTGAGTTTTGACAAACCTCTCACATCTCTGTGCTAACAGAATCTAGTTTCACAGATGCAGAATTAGCAGCACAGCATGATTACACACTTTAGCCTTAATCTTGGGAGGTACAGCTGGCATGGACAATGGCTAAGGAAATTGCCTTGGAAGATCTAAGTTGCCTGGGGCTTAGAAACAGCAACAACATGACAGTTGCAAAAAATATAACACTGTGAAGTGCAAGAATACGATCTAATGACTTAGGAGAGTTCTGCTAGACAAAGCATCTTACTCAGAAGCAAAGGAAGACAGCACCACAGGATGACTATGAATCAACACTTGGCACAACTAAAAATTCAGCCACAATCCTAGGTATTTTCAGAAGAGAAAAGCATTTTTAAATCCCATTATACAATGCACTGGTGAGCCTGCATCCAGAACAGTTCCTTCAACTACACCCAGAAAATATCAGCTCAAACAGAAAGAGTTACATGGAACAGCTATTCATTCATCAAAGGAAAATCTATCTTGTTAGCTGCAAGAATTTAGTTGGTTAAGCCTAGCAAAATGAAGGCTAAGGAGAAAAATTACCCTTAGTAAATATCATGGGGATAAAAATCAATGTTTAAGCCATTAGACAAAATTACAAGAAACATATAGAAACTTGCCATAAACTTTCTAAGCACCAGAAGGGGGAGATCGTGGAACAACCTTCCAGCAAAATCCACGTTACATCCCTAAACTGACTTCTATTTACACCTGCACTGCTGCCTGGGCCACCCCTGCAGCACCCTAAGAGCTGGAGTGCATGACTCCAAAGCAAGAAGCTGAAACATAAATGAACAATGTCCATTTATGCACAAACATGGGAATGGACTTGTATTTTTTCCTCCCATTTTACAGTGCACAGCACAGCACCAAGGCACAGAAGGAATGCTACAAACTCTGATTCTACCCCAAGACAGAATCCTGCATCTGATCCCACATCAAGAGACAAAGTTTTTCAGCTTACCTGCTTGTCCAGGAATTCCCTGGTATCCTTCTCAATGTGGCCCTCATAAAGATTAGTTGTAAGACTCATTAACCCAATTTTGGACAGTCCAAAGTCTGTTAGTTTAATATGACCCATTGAAGTTATGAGGAGACTAAAAGAAAGAGAAGTAAAATAATGCAAGATTAATTTGTTTCCCAAAAGCAATTTAAAACAAAAAGAACACAATATAATGTGATGGATGATCTCAGTGTTACATCCCCATTAAACACCTGGAAAAAAAACCTCCTATGCAGCCAAATATCACAGAGCAGACAAGGCAACTAGGAGTGAGATTACCTTCTGCCAAAACATCATCAGTGTAGCAACAGCTTTGGGATAATACCTGAAGACATTCTTCCCACCCTTTCCCAGTGCCTATCTGCCTCTACATCAGTAGCAGGAAAATGTATAAAACCTCCTGCATGTCAGATGCTGTTGAAGATCAATGCTGTCTCCAGCCCCCATGTCCTATTACCTACAGAAAAAGCCCCTGAAGGACTGTCTCTCTCCTTCCTGAGGGGCCAAAGACTTACTTATCAGGTTTTAGGTCACGGTGAACAATTCCATAATTGTGTAGGTACTCCAGTGCCAGAACAGTCTCAGCAAAATACATCCTCGCCATATCAACAGGTAGGGCACCAATGTTCTTGAGAAGTGTAGCACAATCACCTCCTAGAGAGAAAACATTTGCACATATGGCACGTTGAAATGGCAAGTATCAGTAAGAAAGAACAGCTATGGGTCTGCAGTACAAGATTTCTTACAAGTTTTCTAAAGGCTGTCTCTCACAGCCCTGTTAGGAGGAATTCTAAAGATCTCTCTATACTCTGTCTTGATGTCTTGAACTTAAATATTAAAATCCTAGGAAAACTGAGATCCATATATGTTGGGCAGGCTTGGACAGGAATTGTACAGATGCCATTTGCAAACTGAAGGAAGTCTTGAAGAAAATAAGTCTGTGGACTCCTGATTGAAGCTTCCTTGGGAACACCGGCCACACTTTTCAGTCGACCTTCATTTCTACTTGCAAAGAGGAATTTATATTAAAATTTCCTATTGTCAATACATCTGATTTCATTCCACTAATTTATCTGAAAGAGCACTGATACAATAACTATAATCTTATTTCTCAAACATTCAGTCTAGCAAGCCAGGCATAAGAAATTAATCCTATCCACCAGTGGATATTGCTTATAAAAAGATATACTGATAAAGTAAAATCAAATTATATTTCAAAGAATAAGCAAACCAAACAATGAAAAAAACCAACCCCAGCATAAAATGGCACTTTATTTTTAAAAAGGCTGCTAAAGAACAAAGACTTATGTTTCTTAGGTCTTTTTCTAAGTGGAATGTCAAGCAAATGTGTTATGGATCCAGCCACGCCATCCCACAGGAGAGAGCCTTTCCTTTCCAATAAAGACTGAAAAGTTCATGCTGACTTCTGACCTCAGCAGGGAGGCTCAGCTCCACTGCAAATGTGTTGGATCAGTCACAGGGATTCCCAGCCCACATCCATCCCAACTAAGGCCCCTTTGGAGGTGTGGATAACGACAACCATACCTTCCACATACTCCATAACCATGCACAGGTGCCGCTTGGTCTCAAAGGAGCAGAACATGCTGACCACGAAGGGGTTCTCAGCAAATGTCAGGATATCTCTCTCCACAAAGGCCTGCTGGATCTGGTTTCTCAGGATCAGGTTCTGTTTGTTGATCTTCTTCATGGCAAAACGCTGGCGGGTGGTCTTGTGCCGCACCAAATACACCGCTCTGCAAAACCACACACCAAGAGGAAAAGGTCCATTTTCACTTCAAACTGGTTTGTTGTGGGTTTAGGTTTGGAGTTCTTTGTGGTTTTGTTGGGGTTTTTTAAACAGTGATGTTACTGTTTTGAATGGATCCTGACAGACTTATCCATGACTTCCTAAAATCCCGTTTCCCTAGAAAAGAAGGAACCCCATGATGCCTCCTTCCCAAAGCTGCTCTGCCTTCTTGGATCAAGCAGCATTTTTGCTGATGTGACAAACAAGGAGATATCTCAAACACAAATGTCACAAATTTCCATAAGCACCATTCCACAGCAGCATGTATTTTTCAACACTACGGTGACCACTTTGCTTAAAAAATTGACCAAAATCTATGAAATCAGCACAAGTTCTTTCCAGGCTCCATAAAATTAATTTGATGCAGCACTACCATCAGGGATTTTCTTCAGTAAAGAATTCAGTAAAGAATCTCTTACACTTCTATCATTTGCAGATCATTAGATTCCTGCACATTAATAATACAGTTTGCAAATAAAATTTTCATCCAGTCTGCCTGCCTTATTGAATCAGTACTTGTTTCCCTTTCTCTGGAGTACATTACATTTAATGTGGTATTGTGTCTCACCAGCCACTGACTATAAAATAAACCCATGATAAAGACATGTGACTAACAGCAAAACTATCACTTCTCTCTCCCCTTTTTACTAAGTTACATGGACCTTGTGTAGAAATATGGCTGAAGAGATTTAAAATCTTTTCTTATAATACTACTCTTCAACATGCTCTATTGTGTCTTCACTCACTAAAATCCCATGCTTAAACTTTTTCCACATATAATTTTTAAAAAGTGAGTTGTTATTAACTAAGCACCCACTTCCACAAAACACCCAAGCACATGCTCAGGTTCTGTTGTTATGACCTGCTGAGTATCACTGCTTTTCAGTAGCAGCCTAATGACCTCACTGGTAAGGATTTATGAACTGCAAAGAGTCAGGAACTGCCTTTTAAAATTCTGGGTAGGTTTGTGTGTGTGGTTAAAACTGCAACTGACTGAATTCATATTTGAGTCTTCAATGGATAATAAAATCTAATAGCCTTTCTCATCTATTGCTTCTCACAGTAGATTTACCCCAGTGTAATTCTAGCACTTCTTTTAGCATTTCAAGTGCTCACAAACAGACACATATGTTACATATATAATCTGAATAAATGAAAAAAATGGCATCTCCTAGAAGAATGCAGATACAAGTGCAGAACCTCTGTAAGACCCAAATGAAATTACTTTATGCTTTGGACCCAACAAAACCCAGACATTTGCCAAACCTTGCTATAGCCCTTTGCTGGGTAGGACAATGATAGCATTTTCTTCTAATTCAAAGTCTAAAAGTCTTACCCATAAGCACCATTACTGATCAGTTTAATAGTTTCAAACTCTTCTTCAGATGGAGTTTTCTTTGACTGAACAGAGGCCCCACGGCTCTGGGGAAAGACAACAAGAAAATGGAAATCAGGAGCAGGAATGACTTAATTCAATATGGGGTTTTTTTTGTCCTTTTCTTCTTTAAGCACCAATTAATTCAAACTCAATTCATTTCTGAATTTCTGGAGTCCTCAGCTTTAGGACAATTGTCTGTATCCTTAGGGTGTTTGCAGATTTCCCCCACAAATTATTAGCACAAAAAGTCAGTGGACTGTAAGATTCCAGCCTTTCCTTAATATTACATTTTTTAAAAAAACAATGAAATAAGAATCTTTGAAACCTAGCCAGTTACATAATTAAATTTTTCCAGTGGTTTTACTAAAGTCAACTCCTTTCAATACCCATTACACTTTAAAAATGTAGATATAAAGAATTCCTCCAGATGATTTTCGTTTGTAACTCCAAGAATTAAAAAAAAAAAGAAATCCACAAAACTTGGTAATAATGCCTATTTGTATCTTTTAGGCATTTTACCACCACCATATAAAGATTTTCAAATTTTTATGAGCATGTACTCTAGTTTTAATATGAGCTTTTAAATGTCAGCACTTTTTTTTTTTTTTAAATTACAATTACTCTGCATTATAATTAATTCTTTACTGTAGACTACTTCTTTTGAGTGAAAAAAAGTGCTAGACAGAGTGAGTGTATTACTGCTTTACCTCAACTGAATCATCTGTCTCGGGAGTGTCTGGGCTGTCATAGCTATTCAACTGGGCCATTTCTGAAAAGAAAGAGGAAAGATTACTCCTAATGATCTCAATCAAACACTGTTCTCTTTGTTTATACAGGAAAAACAGGATTTTAAGAGATGCTTGCAGATGATGAAGGCCATTTTCTCCCTCTGTAAAAAGTCATCCCTATTACACAGTGATAACCTTTAACATCTTGTACACTGCAGGCAGTATTTTATATAAAGATGAATATAATTAATTATTCTAATTTCAGCCTGACTTACTCTGGATAGTTTCTATAATAAGTAAAATAAATAAATGCATGTTTGGGGAAAGTGCTGTCTAGTTAATATTAAAACTTATTCCACTCGTATGTGTCTGCATGTAGCCTGGTGGCACCTCTGTCCTCCAAGAAGAAAAAGCATCACATTTCAAACAGCTGCCCTCCAGGTGGCTGATTCTGCAAAATGCTGAGCAGCCGTAAAGTGGGGGAAAGTCACTTAGTTTGGGCTACTCAGCTGTCGCAGGAGGTGCTGTAAACTTTGCAAGCCCAAATCCTACTTTAGCTATGAGTCTCTGAACAGACATTGCTGACATTTCTGGGTGCTCTCCTCACAGAAAGGAAATAAGGCACCTTGACATCTCCCCAGATTTCTAAAGAAAATTTGACTTTAGGAAGGGGAATTAGCGATGGAAAGGTTCTCTCCCATGACAGGGATCAAAGGAAATTTCCCTTTAATGTCAGATTTCAACAAATGCTATTAAATTGCATTTAGCAATCTTTGGTAGAAATTTTCCTGAAGAGCTCTTCACTTGAAGTCAACCTGTCATTGTCATTCCAGTAAACACCAGAGAAGTTAAACTAGTCCTAGCCAGACTACTAATTTATGTTAAAATTATGCTCTCCTGAGATAACAAGTACAGTTCAATCACTAAAATATTCCACAGTAACCTCCAGTCTCTGTCACACTTCCTATTGTTGCTGAACAAGCTGTGCATGCTCAGAAAACTTGTCATTTCAGCCAGCAAAGTGCCAGGCAGAAATATTAACTTACTAATTCTAAAGTTACAATCTTCTGGGCCAATGTATGCCTATGTAAAGTTTAACATATGCAATTCTGGCACCTTGCAGAAAAGCTTACTTTCCAACCAGGCCACTAGCAGGCCAGGCAGACCAGAAAAATAACGGGTAAATTTACTGTCCAACAGCACAGAGAAAACAGTTAAATCCTAAAGCTGTTTTCTAACATTGTTTCAGCTATAATACAGGGAGACATTATTAACATCGTAAGTAAAGAACTGTCACTACTGATGTGCCATCCTTACCCCAGCAACATTCCTTTGAGGCATGGGGCTGGAAAGGAGAGTCTAGAATTTGACAGTAAACAGGAAAATAAGGAAAAATGGCCTAGAAATTCAATCAATAAGATAAAAGCATCCTTCAGCTATGTAGTGACCAGGAGATCCTTTTAACAGTTTGGAAAGAATATAACAAGAGTTCTCACCCTCCAGGGGATCCCTGGTGAGTCCCAGCTGGCTGATAATGTAACGAGGAATGTCACATTTAATTCCTTGCCCTTCCTTGGCATGGCCTTCTGCAGCTTCCAACAAATGGTAGAACTCTTCAGGATCAAACTCCTACAGCAAAGCAGTGAGAGACACAGAGAGCAGAAAATGATGCAGCTTTACAATTATGAAAGGTTTCTCCTCCACAGAGGGGAATCCTCAAGAACATCCAAAGGTAATTCTGGGCTCAGCAGTGATGCAGAACATTTCCAGTTATAACAAGCAAGGCAATGCTTCCCACTCTGCTCTGCAAAACCAACAGACAGACAGGTATATCCCATGGGGTGTCCATGGGTTCAGATTTGAAAATCCAAACAGAACAAGGACTGTAGGGACTTTCTACAAACCAAACCAAAACTTTCAAAAGCTCTTGTTAACACAAGTGACAAGTGTGGACACAATTCCCAGTTCTGTCCCATTGAGATGTGGCAGGGAAAGGTCTGGGATGAGAACTGCGGCACCACCTTCTGCCACCTCCATCTGACTGGTGAGTTAACCCAAGATGAGCCTTTCCTGCTGTCAGATGTCACTTCTGATCAAGCCATACACCCACCCAATCCTGTCACTCTCCTAACTTCAGCAATTGCTAATAAAATTATAAATAAAACAGCTTTCTTCATAAGAAGTACTGCTGCCCTATTTTGTACTCTACAGTACAGGATCACTTCAGCAACTCAGTCTTGGTGCACGTGATCTCTGAGGCCAGAAAAGGTTATAGAAGGTGTGATCTCTTGCACTGGACTAAGAGATATAGTAGGAGACAAAAGACAAGCTTAGAGCAGCAGCAGCACTCTGCTTAGAAACAAGTTCACCAGTTGACTTTAGCTCTCCCCCCTACAAACCTCATCGTTCACCAGCAATGAGCAGCTTCGCCAACATTCTTCAAAAATTTTCCAGTGAAATGGGAGAGTGAAAGGGGAAGAGTTTCAGCAAACAGCTGAGCATGCACAGATAACAGTGATGGCATCAGTAAAGAACTGGTTTGTGGTCAGCAACGTAAGAGAAAAAGAGCACAGAACTGCAAACAAGAAAAGGAAATTAGAGCTTGTAATGATGTGAAGAGACTTGAACAGAGAACAGATGCACTTTTCCATGACTGCTCCAAGCAATGCTCCTTGGATAGATGCTGTCACCAAAGACAGCCAACAATGTTAGAAACAAAGTTCCTTCCCAACTCCTCTGGAAAAGGATTAATCAACAGTCTCAGAAGTGGCAGAGGGCAGGAGCCAGAGCAGAGTAGACCACCGAGAGATGGTCACCAGAATGCAGAGAAAGGGACGCTGGAGCCAAGGAAAGGATTCTTGAGGTACAGCTGCAGGTCATTAATTGGTGAGTAAAAGAGTTAAAAAAACAACTTGGTGACAAAAAACCCCAAACATACAAAACATTAAGGAACTATATAAATTCCAGTGCTGACTTCTTTATGGTAGGTTTAATTATTTGAATACAGAAGAATGAACCCTACTAAAGGGGTAGAAATGGAAAAATAAACTGAAAAAAATTAAATACTTTTTCCCAAAGATGGTTTCAGAGATGCACAAACCACATCATTATTTTCTTGAAGACCCAGAGATTGTCTCTGCCAATAAACATTTCATAGTCCAACAGGTAATGCAAAGACAGAAGCCAAATGGCTGAACTTTAGAATACCTAAATGCTTTTGACTGCATTAGAACAATCACAACCATCACAAGCACTGTCTGTATGGACATTTAGTTCATTTATGAGGAAGAAAGAAGAATGAGCTGTGTTACTAAAGTTAACCTTAATATTAAATAGTAGATAAACTTTTTTCTAAATTCACACATAATTGAAGCCAAAGGCTGAATTACAAAAAAGTATGTTGAAAATAAAAATGAGTATTAGTTCTCAAAAGCTACTTAAACAGTTGACTACCCATTATTGTATGTCTTGTTTTATGGTACAAAAGGGACATTAAGTATTTAATTCTTCACATCACCAGATTAAAATACATATCTGGGAAAAAAATTCCTAGAAAGACGATGCAGTTTGAAAAAAACAGGTAAGACTAACCCACAGATCCAGATATTATTTCTACACTTTGGAGTCTGGCCACCTCATTGTCTAGGTTGTCACTACACACTTTGGAATTCATTACTCAAATCTCAATGACTTTGCTGCTTCCACCTGCTCTCACTCTCCCTTTGCAAGGCATCAGGTGGAGAAGACACAGAAGAACCTGGAGACTTCTTGATTTGCAACTAAGAGCTGCCTTGAGTTTGGAACTCTTTGCAGGTACAGACATGGGTTCACAAGGCTTTCTGGGGTTCCAGGTTTTCCTAGATGATGAGTGTACACAAGCAAAAATGACAATAGTGAATGCAGCAAATAAAAAACACAGTGAGTTTAAATTCATCTCCTTTCTCCACTGTCTTCACTTCTGAAACTATTTTGAAGAAGTGCTGGAAGATAGGTGGGAGTCACAAAAACTCATCTAAATCACATGGTTTGAAAACCAAGGAATTGCCAGTTTGAATGGAGTTGTGCCCAGGATTTTCAGTGCAGTCTGGTGAAGATTTCTTGAATCAGTAAGTGAAGGTATCTGTCCCGCTGGTTGTGCAAGCCAGCTTCTTCACTGACAGTGGCCTTCCTTGCACTGCAGGATTCCCAGCAAAGTGATCCATCTGACCGCTGTGGAGGAGGAATAAGGAACCCTCCAAAGTCTACTGGGCCTCAGAACTTCTGCAGGTGTTTACAAAAACTGGTACCATTGATAAGACTGAACCACTCTTGTCTGCTTTGTCAAAGAAAGCTTCACAAAACTTATTCATCTCCCAGTGATTCCAGGGCTAAAAGTTATCCATGGACACACTGGCCACAACATAACCCACCACATGTTAAACTCTGCTTTTATAGCCAGCCACAGATTCCTATACCAGCCAACTTCTCTGATGACTCAAACACCTTTAGCATCTCTCTCACTTTTATGTCCAGAAAGAACCACCATGATTGTGCTCCAACACACCAAGGAATTTCATCCTGCCATTGCCTGCTTCCACTGTAGGTTTGTGACAACTCCCAATTTTTGGTAACTTCCCTACATTCTCATTAATTTTTCAACATCCTTTTGAACTACAGTCACTGAACTGAATCCTTTCAATTGTGTACGCCTCTTTCTATATATATTGAAGGTTTAAATTAACCCTTTTGCTATGGCATGGCAGTGAGAATACAGGTGTTCAAGCTGCTTCTCCACCATAGCAAGAAAATACCTTTGTAGTTGCAGAACTTCGGGACACAGTGGCCTATTTCATTGGAATTATCTAAACAATTTTCACAATTTTCTAGCATTAAGTTAAAAAGAAATGTGTATTATTATTATTATTATTATTATTATCATCATCATCATCATTATCATTATTATTATTAGCCAAATTAAGTTTTTAAGAAAGGAGCAAGACTTGCTTTTGATGTAATCCAATAGCACCAAATAGCATTTCAAACCCAGGCTCCCAAATCTCCTTGTATCTCACACGGGTGCATCCCACTCTGTGCCCACAGCTGGAAAACCTGACACCAGGTTTCACCAATTGCTGGGGCTACAGGAAGGGTTTGAGCCCCAGAGCCCCAGCACTATTTCTGTCATGGTAGTGAACATCTTCCTTAGTGACAGCTCTTCCTTAGCACAGCGTTCTGGACACTGGGCACACCCCAAACAGACATTTACAGGCTCTTTGCAGTATCTATAACAACATGAAGAACATCCAGTGGCATCAAGAACCATGAAATCATGTTGATAGTTACATCTGGCCCCTCAGCCATGAACTTCATACTAAAATATAATTTAGCTGCTGATGCAGCTGACAATCCATTGGAGAACTACTTCTATATTAATGGAGAAGCCACTTAGTAGTTTGGTTTTTTTTGAAATATCAATTTATTTTTCATCAATGTCTTAATGAGCATTTAAAGGTTTCTTTTGAAGGCTTTGTGTCCCTTATCTCCTCAAGTGCACAGCACTCTTTAGATCCTGCACAGCCCCTCCCAGGCCTGCACTCACCAGGCACTCGAGCAGCCGGGCTGGCCGGGCGATGATAATCATCAGCTTCTTCACAAGCTGGGTAACGAAGGCAACCTCGGAGCTCTCGGATCTCTCGTGGGCCTGTGGAGAGCAGAACAGCACATCATGGTCCCAGCACTGAACTCACAGTTTCTGTATGTCAGATGCTGAACGCAGCTCAGGAACCAATTCAGCAGCAAAAGCACGGCTGAGTCAGGGCAGGCTGAGCTCAGCTCGCTCAGGGATGCCAAGGTACACATGGCTTTTCCATCACAACTGACTCCCATTAGCATGCCAGAGATATTTCAAAGGCTCTATGTGCATTATGTCACCTATGAATTATAATAGAAACAATGTGGGCTTAGTTTATTTTTTTAAATGCAAAGAGAAATACTGATTTTTTTCAATTTTACCTTCCACACAACACTGATGTCTAGGTAATCACTAACAGACACATTTCTGAGCTTCACTTACAGCTAGAATTTGAACTAGAATTTCTCATCACCAAGAAAAACTCAATTTCAAGATTTATGTGTGTATTTGTTTGATGGGATGTCTTTTTACAACAGCAAACATACCAAAACAATAATAATTTTTTTAAAATAAGCAACACAAAAACCCCTCAGAAATTACCCTTCTTTTGATGAAGCACACAATGGCTACATGATGAGTCCTGGAGCAGAAATATAATAGTATTTCATTGCAGACTGATAAGAAAAAGGTTCCAAATGCATGTAGAGCTCTGAAACAAAGTACAGCTATTTTTTCCCAAGGTCTAAAATTTGTGCTTTAACACAGACACCAATACAGAGTCCAGAACTTAATGAATGAGCTTTTGCTGGCAATGAGCCAGTTACTTATAAGAGCGATACTTTATCAACAAGAGTGCAAGCAGAAATAAACTAAAAGGTTCATTTAGCATTGTCCATTAGAATCACCTAACAAAAAAAACATATTTATATGTCTTTATATTTCAGAGAAGTCAAGTCACCCTGGTGACCACCTAAAAAGAGCAATACAAAACACAGGGAGCAGAAATTCAGAACTAGAAATATACAAGCAGCATTTTAAGTAACATATCTCTGATACTTTGCTGCCTAGCAAAAAATATTAAAAGGTTCATTATTTCTCTTTTTGACACCAGTCAGAATAGAAATGTTGACTGTATCCTTCTGCACTGATTAGCATAGGCTTGAATTTTAACCTTGAAGAGAATGATGTACCTGCTAGTTCTTTATCTAAAAACAGCATCAGAGGTCTTTCCTGGCTATACCGTCTTAAAAATAAGATTATTTTGGAAATACTGAAATAAGTTGCAATTTCGTTTCCTTATTAAAAGATTTTTTTAGATTATAAAATAGAAAACAATCACAATGAAAATGATACTCACTTTGTATCCTCTAATGCATTATGCAAACTTTTAAGTTACAGTATGAATTTTACAAAGAAATAAATGCTTTCATAATTTAAAAGCCATTCCAGATCACCAAGGGTTAGCTGCACTGAAATGAATAGATAAAGCATCAACAACTTTGTATTATTTTTAATTTGAGACATGCAATTGGAAAGTAGTTTCCTCCCCCCTACATAGGTTATATTATGCAAAAAATGTAATATATTCATCATTTTGCATCCATTTATACTGTTAAAGAGAACTTAGTCTTTTAAATCAAGTCCTTTTGTTTTCTCCTTTTCTCATTTATGACAATTCAGGCAAATTAATTTAAAAATGCAGCTAGTTTAATCAGGTGTCTGTTTTGAAAATGAAAAGCTAGACCATGATTGCCAAATGATACAGAAAAGCAAAAGGAACAAGAAAAAAAGCATTTACAAAAACCAAACACAACTTGTAACAGCCACTCAGCCATCATCTCTGCACAGCGCTGCTCTTCCAAGATCCTCAGAGAAACTGCTTCCTCTTCTTCCCTCCTCACACAGGACAGCCTGGACATCCCTACAGACTTCTTGTTTCCAGAGTGTCCCAGGGACAGAAGCTGGGAGCAGGAGGTTTGTGCAGCTGGGCACTGCCTGAGCCAGGTGCCAGCTGTGCCAGCTCAGCAGTGCGTCCCCAGGACCCCGCGCTGGCCCCCGGGCTGCTGGTGCCATCCCAGGGCTCCCCTCCCTCCCTCCCAAGGAGGGGTTTGGGCAGAGGCTGATGCCATTCCTGCACACCCTGCCGGTGACACGTGTACAGGAGGTAATTTACAAACCGATTCCCTCATCTGAAAGACCCATCCGTCACTAACTGTGGCTGCTGGGGCATGAAATTAAAATCACTGTCCTCCCCTGGGGTTCAGCAGGACCAATAACTGGGATATGCAAGTCACAACGCTGTAATTGAGCTAACAGACTGATGGAAACCAAAACAATAGACCTGCAAAGCCAAGGACTGATAAATTTACACTCAGGCTCTTACTAAGAAAGCAACCCCAATCAGAACATCCATTTGCCAATATGCAGCATCAGTCACTGCTGGAGAATACTCACAGCCTCCCCTGCTCCTTTTGTTCCACACACAGAAACACCTGTAATCTTTCACCTTCCTGCCCAACTGGCTACACCTAGGCAACAGTCATCAGACTTCTGGTGGCTACTTCTGCCTTATTGATTCAGCCAAGTAATGACTGACTATAACCTTTTGATCATCAGTAACCTGAGATTCTAACCCATGGTAACAGGTAAAGAACTGAATGTCACACGTTCTTTTTTATATCAGTGCTTTATCTTATTTTTTTGTATTTCTACTTTGATGTGAAGTGTAGCATTCAAGTTCATGTTTTCCAAGATGAAGAAAATCTCTTAAATTCATTTTTCCTTCATGATTATTTCAACGATGCGATAAGTTCTCCTGGCTAAAAAACAGTATTTCATGCTCCAAACAAGGGAAAAGATCTCATTTGCCATAGCTAATGAGATTTGTTGGCATGTTATTACAAAAGCTGGGATCTAAAAATCTTCCAAAAGCTTTCTGGTTTGGTGCATTTAAACAGCTCATTATTTGCATACCCAAACAGTCTGCTTTACATTTTTACTCAAACTACAATATATTAAATCAAGTCTCCTTTTTATGGTTTGAAATGCTGTGCAAGTTTAGTTTGTTACCAGGTATCAGAATCGACACTTTAAAAAGAATTTTTAAGAGAGAGAATCCATTCTTTCACAGTAAAATTGTAAGAAAACCTGTGAATATTTCTGCCACTTACTGGCCTCATTATTCACCAAGAAAGCATCTTTGCAATCTTTCAGTATGTTATAAAAATATGCCATAAAACTCCATAGCCTACTACACAGACCATACAACTCCCAAGTTGAACAGCTCTTTGAATTACCTTCTAATTGGTATTATTTATGTACCCATTATTTTGATACTTTGCAACCTAAGCAAAGGTTAAGATCCTGCCATCAAATTTGGAATAGCTTAAACTTGACTCTAAAATGTCCTGTGTTTCAGGTGACCCCTCCAAAAGAAATAGTTTCCCAATTTCTATATATTTTGATGAAAATGTCCCAATTATTTCCTTGCAGAATGCAGTCTGAAGGGCAAAGCACAGATTAGGCAAGCAGAGGAAACAAATAGCTTTTAAATATTAAAATTTAAAAGATAAGCTAGGGAAAAGAAAAAGCAATAGGAAAAAAAACAAATGAGAAAGATGAGGAATGAAGCCTTTGGCTTTCCTCCGATATCTTTAATGTCTCTTCTCTTCCTTCCCAGCCTGTTTTGCCTCCCTTGCCTCTCTAAACTTTCCTTTTAATCACCTCTAGCCCACCTTACTCCCCAGAGTAAATCAATCAAACTGAAGAGCTGACCCTTCTCTCGCCCCCTCTCTGCAGAAGACGCTGAGGAGGGAGAGGGCAAAGAAAGCCCCAAATGTCAATTCCTGAACATGCTCAGAGATGACCAGTGTATCTCCTCTAACCACAGCTCAATGAAGCCTTTCCCAGTATTTCAGAGCAGCAGGATAATGCCTGCAGGATCAAGGGGGAAGGGACATTTAAGAAGTATATTTTGAGGATTTGTTCTGAGGAAAAGGGGAGAAAAGGAAAAAGCTGATTTATCTGGCCCACACCTCCTCCAAGACCCTGATTAACCTCTTCAGGCCAGAAGACAGGGCTGAAAATGCAGACTGGAAGCAGCCAGCCCTAATTTATGGCTCTCTCAGCTCCTTATGGTGTAAGAAATCACCGTCCACACACAGAAGAGGAAAGTCAGGGAGAGGGAGAAGTTCAGGCTCCAAGGATCTGCTACCAGAAGCAGTAAAACACAGTGTAGTCTCCCTGTGCCCCTGAAATGTAAGGGATTTTGCTGAGCATACAAAGTCACTTTTAATGAAACCTTTCCAACCTCCAAACCATCACCCAGAGAGGCCTGATCCCTTATTTCACAGCTGACATGTGCAAATACTCTGCTTCCAGACTCTGGAGATACAAGGGGGATCCACAAGTGGTTACTGCTATCCTATAGGCAGACAATCATATAGTCCCCTCCAAAGATACTCCCTACCTCTCTTGGTCTGTCAAAATTATATTCCCCATCCAAACAGAACACCACAGATCCAAACATGACTCATTTTTCTCTCAAACATAACAAATACCAGAAAAATTACAGCTACACTTATATAAATAGGGTTGCCAAGAAATTTAGCTGATACAAGGGAAGTTTTTGCAGCTTTCACAAAACTTTTTAACACAATAATTGTATATTAATATAGTATTTCTACTCATCTGCCTTTTTCTAATATCTGAAAAGAGTGGCAGAGGGACACAAGTTACTGCAATTCATGCCAGTGGGTTGGCAAACTGATCAATAAAGATAAAATAAAATTAAAATCATAACAGAAAACAAAGTATTTCAGTTGTTCTGTTCCCAGGTGTCTCTGTAATATTTGCTATCTGAGAATGCAATCTTTATAAAACCTGTTTTTTCAGCTTGCTGTATCATTAAGGCAGAGGATTAGGAAGATATTCCTAAACAGAGGTCTGGACTCAGCCACTGGCAATAGCACCAACTCTTCACAACAGTTATAGCACAAAATCTAAGAGATGTTTGAAATTTAATATTGTTCTCATTTTAAAGGGAAAGAACAATTTTTAATGAGTAGCTGAAGCATACTGGGAATGCATTAAAATAACGCCCCCTTGTGTATTTTCATATGCTTTGAATGCCATAAAATACATCCAAGTACTAAAAACCCACAACTGGATTAAGTTCAGCTCAAGAAAATCTTTTGTGAAAAATTTACAGCAACACTAATAACTATGGTGTTTTCACTTCTTGAAGGCACTATTTTAATTAATAAATCTTTCAGAGTGCTGAAGTTCATGAGAAAAGATTTCAGTAATTTTGTTCATCTGAATAAACCAAATTTTCATAAATGGTAAAGACTGCCTTTGACATACTCATACTTACATTTAATTTCTATACAAACAAAGTTCACAGGTGAAATGATTTACTCAAATCCACCCACAGCAGACCAAGAGGAGACTGGAACATCTCAGATCTCCTGGCCCCCCCCACCTGCTGCCCCTCCCCTGGAATCCACAATGTCTCTCCTAAAATCAAAGCTCTGGCTTATTGGTTAAAGTTTCAATCAAATTAATATATTCTACTTTCCAGAGGGCACTTACATCCTGGAGAAGTTTCTCTAAGTTTTCCTGCAGCTCATAAAAGTACCGAGAAGTAATAAGACCTTCACGTGATTTATCTAGGCAATCTCTGGCCAGTTCAATAACTTGATGATGAATGAAACTCAGGACCCCATCCGCTAATTGCAGCACGTTCTCTGGAGCATTCGAGGCAATAAACTCAGCCAGCCGCTCTTCCATCTGTGCCGTGGCCTAAAAGTGCAGAATAAAGAGAAATTACTCCTGAATTTTACTAACACAGACCTTAAAGCATAAACAAGTAGCGTGCTAAAGTAATATTTGCAATATCAAATTGCACGAGGCTTAAAAAACATTCCAAAATACAGTAGCATTTTCTGAGAACAAGGACAGCACATCAGAGGCAAAAGTTACGTTCACATGAGCAAACAACAAAAATTAATCAAAACACGCTTTCTGAAAATGTAAATGACCATAAAAATATCTTGGTCCTGAGGCTGTATTCCTCCCTGGGTCCCCAAAGTAAGGATGTAAATTGTGAGGAAGTTTTCAGAACTTTTAGACAAGACTGTGGAAGCTGAAAATCATTGCCCCAGGCCATAAACACACGGCAGTTCTATCACTATAAGCCCTGATATCCTGTCTCCAGAGAAACATCTATTTTTTCTGGTGCTGGAACAAGAAGGAATGGCCATATCGACAGCTGTGGGATACACAATCTTCTACACTCGTTTCAATCAGATTTTAACTTTTAACTTGCTTCCACAGGTTTCAATATTCAGCTGTTTGAAAAGCCAGGCATGACTCTTCTTTTCACTCTCGTGAGAATTTCTCATGCCAGTAGAAGACATCAGAAATTTAGCAAATATTAAATACATATATAAAAAATTCAGCCTTTTCCATCCTAATCTCTACGTATACTAAATCTATTTCTTCTACTGCAGAATTAACATATGAAGATGAGGAGGCAGCTTCAAACTCTCAGCAAACTGCACTGCTTGGAAATGGGATGTAAGAGCTGGGCTCCTTCTCCAACCAGTACAAACTAATTCTGAGCTTGGACACAAGTTCAGTGAATGCATTATTCAAAAAGTCATTCTTTACCTTTGGAAACCTTTCTTTGTACACATGATTCATCATGATTATTTCACTGTCAAAGGAAACTGGAGAGCGACCAGGGCTAGAGGAGAAAAGGAATCATGTTATCATTTACAGATATCACACCAAAACTCTTCAAAACCAGTGCTGACCATTATGCTGTCACATTGACTGTAGCTTCCAAAGCTTTGAGTTCACTTCAGTAATGTGCAGATGCTGAATTTCAGAGAACATCCTGGCAAGCAACGACTGCTGACATCCCTGTCCCCACACGGGCTCTGGCAGAAACCCCCCTATTTCATTTCCAGTGAATGCAAACCCTAACACAGAAGTTTGTAAAAGCCCAGTGCATTTATTGCAGATACATTTGCAATTCCCCTCAATCTGTGACTGCCCTCCATGGCAGCTGGAGCAGCCCTGCTCCAAAAGAAATCCCAATGAGCTCTGGAGTCTCCAGCACCAAAAGGGAGCAGAGCAATAGAAGTAAGGAAGTTGAGATGATTTGTTTTCCTTTGTCTGAAGGATACTGCATGAGCACTGTTATTCAGCTAAATCTTACATATAAAATAAATCCCACAGGCAACAGAGTACTTTTATGAAAGCTGCACTCCCTTGATGCACATTACACCATGGATCCGTATGCATCTATGCATAAGTTAGCAAGAAACTTTAAGGCACTCCAAAACACCAGGACACTAAATCTTGACAAGCTGCATTTATATTACTGTTTGGGTGTTGTTTTTGTTTTTTTAAAGAAGGGTTGCATCTCGTTTCATCACATCTGATGGTATGCAGGGCTCTGACTCACTCTGCCACAGAGGACGGCCGGATGAGGTAATGCAGATAATCCCCAGCTACAGATCGCCTGCAGCAGCTCCAGCTGCTTCTCCAGCTACCTTGTTTCAACGTTCAAGACAAGCAAGGGCTTCAATTATTTGGCATCCTACGTGATCATTGTCGTTATGTTTTTAAAAGTACTAAATACTGCTAAAAATACTCTGTGTCACAAGATACGGATTTATCTTGAATGCGTTCAAACATTTCAAATGTTCTAGTGAAGGATGAAATGGATCTCTCTAAATGGAATAAATGCATTTTAAACTTGGAATGCATTACAGTTACTACCTTGCTGCTAACCCATTTAGAGCAAAAACATTCTTTTGGCAACATGTATTAACAATTCAAAGAAAATTTAACTCATTGGCTCACAGACTGCAGCTGTATCAAATTCTTTTCATGCCTTGTACTGAAATTCCATGAATTACATCATATCTTGGTTTTATTACTGTTTATCCTTTAGCTTGAGAAGATGCACTTCAGATTAAATCTGTCACTGAACCCTTATGCTGAAGAAGAAGAATACTGATTTGGATGTTATGAATAGCAAGTAAAAAGACATTTTCATCAAATTCCCTTAGCTTGGTAGATAGCTATTTTTAATCAAGGAAAATTTCCTTTAAAAAGAAACTTACATTTATATTCATATGTAATGTATGACATAATTAAGCATATGGGTAAAAAAATTTGAATTGCAGAGTTATAAGCAAACTCCCCTGCACATTCATCCTGCTATCCTTATCCTTTTTTCTCTAAGACCAGCTGACACAAGCACAACACTTGTTTACTGGTACTTCATATGAAGCTGAGGGACTTGGTTATTGAACACAGTTATTGAAGAATTTATTTTTCTCTGATGTAATTTTTCTCTGTGTGATCTAAGTGAGGTATAAATTACAACTATATATTAGCCCTTTGATACTTATACAGAAATACGGAGGCACACACACACACTTCATTTTAACACTAAAATTTGCACATGCTTAAGTATTTGCTGTCTTAGGGCTACAATAAAACATGAGGGATTTTGCCTTTTGCTTTCAAGGCACTTTATTCATATGGATGCAGGAAATTAAGAGCTATGCAGAAATCAGGCTACTTGAGCTGTCCTGCCAGCAGATGTAGCATTTCCTTAGGGAGAACCACAATAGGAGAATTTACTGTTTGCTTTCATTTTTCACAAAACAGTTTCTGTGCACACCAATTGGCAAGAAAGTGAACATAAAAATCCCTCAGCTTCCCTGGGCAGTTGCAGGTTTGCCTCTCACCTTTGGCAGCTCATCAATGCCACTTTTTGCCAACTAAAACAACAGAGTACCCAACTTGGTAAAACCTCAGATCAAGGGGCACACTGTCATCCAAAAAAAAATTTTCTTAATATACCAGGTCAAATTAAGTATCTACCTGACTATAGCAAGACTGCAACACATTATACTGCACCATAATTTTTAATGTTGATCCTCAGCTTGGGAAACTAAGAAACTAATTAGCTGGATACCTGATTAACTAGCCAAAGGCTACCTGCCAAGCACTGCTGGGTACTTTACAGCACCTCTGGGACAGAACCAGGTGAAAAAGGAACAAGGACTGGGCAGATAACTGAATGCCACCAAGGGAGAACATCAGGAAGTTTAGAAAGAAGATAAAAGGAGTCTAATACATTTTACTGGCATGACATCTTTTCAAATGCAAAAGCTTCACACATCTATCCAGCACTAAAAATTTCACAGACTGAACTAAACTGGTCTAACATTTCAAGCCCCACAAAGGAACAGATTATTTTCTGCAAAACAGAGGACACATGCTGTGCACGTGCATAACATTTTAAGAGAAATTCGGGCTCCTTCCCTTTTCTTGGTGCAGATAGGTAGGTCAAAGAAATTGTTATTGTCAGTGAGCTTTTCATTTCAGCAGAGTAGACATTAGAAGAATACTATTTGTCCCCTTAAGCTTAACAGCAAAATGAAGAACTACTCTCTCTTTTCCCCCTCCTTCACACTCCCTCCACTTTACGAGACGATGTGGTGGTGAATTTTCAGGGATATCCATCTCCCACAAAGATTTCTGTTGTCTTCAATCTGTCAGAACTCATGTGTTCTTATCTGATGCTTGAAAGTGAAAACAGCTTATAGACAGCTATTTCGAGGAGCAACATTTACGCAGGAACTTAAATCTTACAAAATCTAGTTTAAGTGTGACTAAATAAAACCGAGATGTTTATGAATACATTATCTCTCCTTCACTGTGATAGCTGTGTTTATTAGGAAAAATCAAAAAAAGCTAAAAGCACTGTGCTTCCTTCTGCTTTCAACTTGTATATAAAGGTTTATTTAAGTTGTATTTACAGGACAAGACTAAAATCAGTACTCATAGGAAACTTAAAACTATAGGGTTTCATTTTCTGTCATTTCCAGACACAAAAAATAAGGAATTTGAAAACTAGAGAGCTGAAGTTGGATAAAGTGGGCACTAAGATAAGCCTTCTGCTGAAGGTGAGCCTTCCTCTTCTCCCAAGAAACACTTCACAAGGCACACTTTCTTGAGAGAGGAAAGCAAGAGACCAACATTATCTGTAATGCAGTTAGAATGTGCTTTCTTGAAAGAACAGTTGCCTTGTGCTGTAGAATATAAAACTATTATCCTTCCCCAAATCCATGGGGATGTGAATCCCCACTCCACAGCCTGGGGTGGATGGCACTATCTGAGAGCAGCAAGAAGGGATGAACCCACCACGATTACTCAAGGGTTAAAGCTGCCAATGAAGTGCACTGAGATGAGAGAGCCCCACAACCTGAAGGATGAAAGATAAAAATGGACAATGCAGGCCACTGGTTTTCACAACACCTATTCCTTCTTGGGCAATTTATCATCAGGAGTATTTTTTGGTATTTTCCAGGAGTTTTGTCTGTATATTCTTACTGACCAGATCCAGTGTGCTTGAAGTCAGGTTGGGGGATTGCATTTAAAAAGCACTACCCAGCTAAGAGATGAAGAAGGATGAGCTCATCTGCTTCAACTATATAAAAATTCACTGCAACAATCTTCATCCCTTTTTACCTAGACAACATTACCCTGAAATACAAAAAGAGATCAAGAGAAATGAGCAGATTGGTGGGCTGAGTGACTGCACAAAGGTAGCTCCTGAAAAAGTCATTATTAGTTAACTCTGCTTTTATCTCTGACATTCTCCACTCATTCCCACATGTGAGCAACTGCTAAAGATGACAAGTAAAGAGAACTGGGAAAAGATGGAAGGCAGCATCTCTGTAACTTAAAAAGAGTAATGATGCCAAGTTTAGTGCAAGTATTCACAACTTTTCATGCATTTTACTCCAGGGAGAAGAGATCTTGTTCAGGTAAAGCCCAGAATTGATTTAAACAAAACATAACAGATGTAACCTGTGGATCACTGTGTTGGGCAATAACTTGAAGGATTTGAAGACTGAATTATTTAAAAATAAAAAAAATAAAAAATAATAATAAAAAAAAAGAGATAGAGAACAGTTGAGAGATGGTATTTAGGAACTACTTCTGCAGGTAACAAAGAAATATTTTCTTCTACTGAAGACACACTAAAAGCAGGTGGATCACACGGAAATAAGTTCTTTGACTGAGCACATGAGTACTGGATCTTTTTGAGACAGATGAGAGAACAGGCTCCTGGATTTTGCAAGCAGCTTTACAAGGATGTCACACCTTTGCATTCCAGTGCTAGTCTTGTGTTCCCTCCTTCTCCCTGCACAGAAAAGCAGCTGGGAAAGAACCAGTGCCATTTCTTCAGGGCAGAAATTCCAGACATTTCAAGTAAGGCATGATGAAATAAAAGATGAGAATCTTCAAGGCACACTGGCAGAACACCTCAAGCAAAGCAGAGGTGCTACCAACCTGTCAGCGCACCCTCCCTGACTGCACACTTTGTTCGTTTCATCATCCAGTTTGATATTAAGAGTGCTCTGCAGGAATAGAACATTTACAGCTAGGTACAAGAAAATGGTACAATTCTAGCCAAAGAAGTAAGTATACTTTCCTAAAAGTTACATCTAGGCAATATTCTATACCTAGGAGCATAAAAGGATCATCTGCTGCTTCTGAAAAAAAAAGTTTTGGGTTACAGAGACAAAGAACAGTCCCAGCACTTGACAGCGACATCTCAAAATGCCAGTTCCTCTCTCAAAAAGAAATGTAAGGCTGCAGTCATATAGGATGAAAAATGAATACACATTAACAATGATACAATCTTTTAAATTACAAAACCATGTCTGCCCATTAAGGGAAATGTCTGATGTGTTTTGTTCATTTGCTTTTCATTAAAGCTGATCAAACAGTTTCACTGAATGAAAAAATATATTTTTAGGAAATTACTGCTTAATTTCATTTAATGTTGAAAAAGAAAAGCTGTTCTCAGCTTTTATTTTTAAGTAAGTAAAAATTTCTTCTCACCAAGTGAGGTAACTCTAAAGTGTGGGCAAATAAATAAGCAAGCTTTGTGCAGTGAACAATGTCTGGTCTTCATGTATTTCAATACTTGATTGTTTACAAGTACAGGCTGCCCTCTGTCAAAGGGGGTTTCTGCTCCTGAAAATATTGCTCCAGTTGGTTGGACTGACCTATCCATTTCCCTTGGAGGTGCAAGGGCCAGCACAAATGCCTGGTACAGGCAAGGGTGCTTTAGAGTCACGCAGCACCACAGTACAGGCAATAAGCAAAATGAAAAACAAATGAGGCACAGTGAGTTGAAAAATTAAATTATTTCATTCTAAGCTTTGGAATACCAATAAGGCTGGACACTAAAATCCAGTGAGAGAGCCAGGAAAGGTACTCAAGAGAGGAAGAGGATTAATCAGTTATACGACACACAGAATTAATCTCATCGCACCACGAATTATAAACCTACTCCACGATCAGTCTGCTTCAAACTGGCTCACAGAGGCAAAATTCTCTGCAACCTGATAACCCACATTAACAAGGAAGAAAATAAAATTGGGCTCTTCACGTGGTCGTGTATATCATTCTCGCATTAGCAAAAGTGTCTTCTACAACAGGATTACACCTGTGTTAAAGGACAATCATTACCTTAGCATGTGCTGTCTACAGGAGCTGCCTCACCTCTAGAGAATTAGTACCACTGCAGTTACTCTACTCAGCAAGGGTCAGTGTTAAGAGGGGCAGCACAAGGACTCAAGTAGGACTATTGTTCAAAGGCACTTAGAACAAGATTTATAATCAGTCTTTCACTACTCGGCACTGAGGAGGTGCCTGGCTAAGGGTGCCACTACCCACAGCACTCACCTGCTCCTGTAGATTACTGTCTAACTACACTTAGCAGGTCCATATGCAATTACTGTGCAGCCTGCACTGAAGTTCAGAACATAAAAATAATTACAAATAATTGTGAAAGGTCAGTTCTGCCGTGACATGATACTGACCACGGGTTGTGTTATTGTCCTGGCCTGTTCCACTTCCTCCTTTTACAAATTCCCATCCAAGTCCTGACTGGATACACTGATTCAACAGTTCCAGCTGGCAAAGTTTTTGAATACTGTCCATTAATTTAAAGGTGATATCCACCTCTGACATCCTCAGATGAATGAAGACTTCACCTCCTTCAACCCTGCTTGTAAAAACCCTTTTCTATCACAAGGTGTGTCCAGACTTTCCCTAAACTTTCATTCACTTGGTCCAGCACTAAAGGCATCGCAAAGCTTGAAGCTTTTGCCGTGATACAAAATGTTTGTGGATTTATTCCATATAACTGTAAGAGATCTGCAAGAAAGACTGCCCAGAGAGTTTGTGGAATTTCTGTCCTTGGAGATATTCAAAAGCCATATAGACATGATCCTGGGCAGCCTGCTTGAGCAGGGCTTTGCACAGGATGACCTACAGATATTCTTACCAACCTCAGCCATTCTGTAATTCTGTGAAAGATGAAATTCTAGTTGTTTCCAGTTTTATGTATGGAAGAATCAACTACACAAGGAAATAACCCTGGATAGTTATCTTTGAACAACCACTTCTCTGAAGCAACAGTAAAATTATTCAACTATTAATGCAGCAGAAACGTTTTCAGCACTATGACAAAATTGTGCTGGGTTGCAATTCTATTTAAGGTTTTGACTTTATCTACTCTGGTTCTCACACCCCTTCAGAAACACTGCCAGAAAAGTTATTAAAAGTGGTTATAACCACATCCTTATGATACTGTAGCAAAATTCTGAGAAGAAACTTCACTAAAGGAAATCTACATCCTATGCATTTAGTTTGAGACACTTGTGGATCATGTTTTCATAGAGTTATTGTGAAAATACAAAAGCAGAGTATACCAACCACTTTGCAATCCAAAAGCTCAGCCTCAAATGTGAGAAAAAAACCTCTTTGTGATCAGATGAGGTTACCTCAATGTTGATTAAAATAGTTTCAAAAACATGTAACAAAGCCACTACAAATGAATATTCTTAGATCTGAAAGCACATATAGAAATGCAACAAACGTGTCCAACATCTTAAAAACTCAGGAAGTGATCCAAAGCTCACCTGAGACTGCGAGATCGAGGCCTCAAGGCTGGAGAATGACGCCCTTCCTCATCAGTGATGCTCTCGGTACTGAAATGCTTTGTCAGGAAATGAAGTTCATCTGCCGTGGGCTGAAAGGGCAGCTGGTGCAGCTTCTCCTGAGATGAGCATGATGACTGAGTACAGAAAAAAATACAGAAAAGAAATGCACTAAACGCATGCATAGGGGTCAGCTAATGAATGGAAGAGGAACGGATTCTGCCAGACACTGTGCGCTCCAGCGGAAAAGAAAGCTATTTATCAGACCAGGTGCCTCTCTTTTTTTGTTCTCATTAGGCTAAGCCAACCCTTACATTCAATGTCAGAGCTGGTGAGATCAGGAAAACTTTGGAAGAGGGCTAGGGAACCACTGCATCTGACTGTGGAACCACTGCATCTGATCACGCAGAGAATTTACTATCAGGAGACAGAAAAGAAGGCACATGAGTACCAGCATTACTCAGGAAAGGACAAGGAGGTTCCTGGAGTGGTGAGCAACTTTCTTTCCTTTTCCCTCATGTTCTCTTAGCTCAGGAGCTTCACTGGCATGCAGAGTGCTATGGAGCTGTGTAGACGTAAGAGTTTCCTGCTGGTTATTGGCTCTCACTGGAAATTGCTATTGTAAATGGTCAGGATTTTATTTCTCCTTTTCATTACCCATCAGGCTTCTTCTCTAACCAGGGAAGCAATAATAAAGTATCTTTGTTCTAAGATTAATGAAGTTTTTCATTAGAGAGTTAAACACCTTATTATTCTGTAAGTAAGTTGATGCATTTATGACATATGTCCTTTGATAATAACAGACATGAAACTGTTTTAATTTGTGAACTTCATAAAACCTGAGATTAAAAGAAATATTTGTGGGAAATGCTAATAACATCAAAGTTGGACATTCCAGAGGAAAAAGCTGAAGGTCAACTAAAAATGTATTTTTGTGTGTGTGATTCTTCAATGCCCCTTTCCATTTTAGAGAAGTAAGAAAATAAATTATGTAAGGACAAATTAAAAATTCACTTTAAAAACAAAAGGGAAAATGAAAAAAACAAAAGCGCTGAATAATCAGAGTAGCACCAAACAACACCAGTGGGCCTTATTAAAAACATCACCCTGACCTAAGTTCCACAGCTCCTTATTATCTGATGAAATTAATTATGTACACTGTTCCAGCAGAAAAACTTTTCCTTTTGCTACAACAGCCCTCACTTAGACTGGAAGTACCACATCCTACTACCAGAAGTAAGTATTGGGAGGATGGAGTTACACATGATATAACACATGTGACCCAAGTTTTAACTCACCTAGCATAGGAAAGAGCATATCTGTCTCTTGCCATACAGCTACATCATTTGGATTGGCATTTTCTGAGGGAAAGAACCCAATCAACCAACAAACCTGAGATAAGTCACACAGAATATATCTGTTCAAATGATGTAGCTATTCCAAGTATTGTAAGCAACAGAAAATCAGGTGATAGAAGAACCTATATAAGGTTTTATATAAACCTAAAGATCCTATTTTAGATAAAAATTTAATTGGCTCCAGATCCACTCCCACTGCACTGCACAGAGGCATTTACAGAAAAGAACCCCCTTGAAAGCCTTGGGATGTGCATGAACTTCCCAAGTGTGCCTGGAACTGGAAGCCACCACTTCCAGCATTTTCTTTCAGGCAGGTCTGTGTGGAGGGACCATGCTGGGAAGTCACTTCCAGCCCAGTGAGCACACACTGATGTTTACCCAGGTGGTGTATCAGTTTATACTGGTCTATTCCACACTGAAGCCATGACAGAGGGAGGACATTTGCCCCTTTGCCCACAACTGTTCTGCTGCTCAAACTGTTTATGCCAAATACAGTGACCATTGTCTCCCTTAAGTACAGATTTATGCAAGTCCTGTTTTGATTTGCAGAGATTTTGTTGATGTCTTTGTTTATGTCTCAAATGATACAAGAAGCAGGAAGAAGAACCTGCCTATGAAAAAAACCTCAACAAAAAGTTAGGTGGCAGCTGAAATCCCATTCATGGTGAGTAACACAGATCCTGCAGCAGAGCTGGAAGTGCTAAAGACACTTAACAGATACCTAAGTTCTGGCATTGCAAATACATGTCTGATTCAAAACAAATTAAGGAAGGTTAGCACATAGTAACTTGAATTAGAAACAAAAAATCAAAATTTATAATATTGAAAAATCATTAAAAACTTTATGTTTCCCAGCAAAATCACTGGGGAAGCAGTGCTTGTCAACCCATGGACAGCCCAGCAAAATCCTCCCTCCACTTTCTCTCCATAAAAGCAATCAGATCACAAAGTTTAGAATTCCAGAGAATAATTCATGAAGGCCCTGAAGATAAAAACCATGGACTTTTCTCTGCCATGGGTTTCTTTAGAAGTATTAAGGTATACAACCTTTCAATGAAAAAGCATGAAAGCAAAGTGAAACACTTCTGAAGTATTGATTTTCAAGTAATCACATCACAGTACTCAATATTTGCAGCAGACTAATACAAATATCCCCCTGGTGTCTTAATTACAGATGCAGAATTAGCCAACTCTTCTCCAGCAAAAAAAAAAATCAATCTATATTACAGCTGCTTATAAACTAACTCTGCGTGTAGAAAATGACTAACAGGTTAATTGTTTAAAAATAATTGGATACTGGCCCATCTAACTGATTATTTCATGTCAACCTGTCTTGAAAGGTCTTCTCCAGCTTTTCCAGTGCTGGTTTCACGATACATCTGATCTTCATGATTTGTATGGAAAGGGTAAATGTGGTTTGGTTTTGATTAAAGTGTCATCCCTCGTTTGGAAGCAAAAAAATAAAGCAAAATCTACATTCTCTCACTGACCTTAGACTAGGTAAACACCTTGGATTGTTCAGTAGGTTGGTACAGCAGGTGATCTATGATCACAGAGATGAGGGTGAGCTCTTGCTCTCATACAAAAACTCAACCAGCAGGACACAGAACAGACTGTGCCCTTCTTGATACTTCATTTCCCACTGGCACATACACCACAGCAAAGGTCTACTGGCTTCCTTTATCTTGCTTGAGAAAGAAACATAATCTTGAGGATTGATCATATGAAATGGAAGCCTAAACTTCTGTTAAAGTCGTATCCGCAGCACTAATTCATTGTGTCCTTTTGACAAGCCCCTTCACTACCTCTTACTTCAAAGTCTACGCAGGAATAACACTGCTTATCAACTTTAGAGGTGTTATTCAGATCAATTCAAATTAATTCTAATCTGTGAAATACTGAGATAATAGGATTGGCTTAGAAATGTAATACCAGGTTTAATAGCTCCAACAATTGCATCACTACTTATTAAACAGCCCATTTCAATGTCTTTCTACTACTGAACCAGCAAAAGGACTAGAGATGAGTCACTTACTCACTTAGGGAAAAAAAATAAAAGTCTTGGAATTACATGTTTCAACCTATTTCCTGCATGAAGATGAATTCAGATCTAACTACAACTATCACTTTATGCTTCTCATTACACTTCCCTGTTACTTACACTTTGAAAAATTACCATTTGAATTGATGCTTTCTATGTGACATGTCTATCTCAGATTTGTTGGATTGTTTGTTTGTTTTTTTCATGGAAAAACATCAATCAAAATTATCTATTTCTGGGAAGATGACAAGAGACAAATATGCTTTATTTCCCATGCCAGAAAGCTGAAACTTTCTAAAGGTAGCCTTGATGTCTGATCTCAAAGCAAGAACTGATACTTCCAAAAGATTTTTGATGTTGTTACGTTTTCTCTCTCCATGGGCATCCACCTTAAGTCTGGTCAAACTACAAACTCTTGAAAAACTACAGCTGGGCCTCCAAAGGTGTCATCTTCACAGGCAAATTGGAAGCTGTCACAGTGACTACCAATGACCAAGCTATTTGGATGTCATCCATATGGAAAGTAACTACTTGCTCCATGCCCCCATAGCTTGCTCCCAGAAGAGGACTTAGACATGGATTATACCCATAAATATATAACCTGGGGCTATAAAGACCAAAGCAGAGCCCCTTTTTAACAGCTGCTCTTGAGTGCTTAAATGGGGCAGAGTGGCAGTGAACTCAGCAAAGCTTAAGTGTTTGTGTGGCAGTGAAATCAGGGACATCTTTTTCATTTACATTTTCCTGTGCTCCTCCTCACACATCTGTATGTACACTGAAATCAAGTCACCTGCCTTCTAAAGAGACAAAAAGCACCCCAAACTCAACAAGAAAACAACTGTCCTGAAGTTCAAAATGCAACAAATGGTAGAAATTGTGTGAACTAGAGTTTGCAAGAATGTGTCTGAACAAATGAAGTTGCAGAGGTAAGATTAACATTGCAGAATCAAATTTTAATCATATCAATTTATACCGAAAGGAAATTTTTGACCCCAATTTTTTATTTTTCTATATAGACTGAATTTAATACCCATCTCCAAAAAAACTCATACCTTTGTGTTTGAGAGGTACTAGAAAGTTTATGGATGAGCTTAGAACAGCTCACAATTTTGTGAAATCAATGAAAACAATGAAAGCATTGATACAGTGTAAGATTTGCATAAGGTGTAGTACTGAGTTCTAATTAAGGACGGTGTTACCATTACTAGGAAGATACTCTAAACAATGAGCACAAAACCAAATGATCAGTATTATGGAAAGAGGCAGTGATTTGTTTCCACACAGTTGAAGACAGCATAAGACACATACAAAAGCACATTACATTAAGTTTGTATTTCATAGTTCTAATGCTTCTACGTTTGTCTTTGCAAGGTTCTCATGTGGATAACCACAAAGCCTAGCTGACTTAAACTAAAGAGTAAGATTCATTTTAGGAAGCATGTCAGAGTTACAAGGGTTAACATGGTGCTGCCAGCACAGTGGAATTGCTGACAGAGCTCAAGCAAACTGCAGCCAGCCTTTCTAATGATGGGTGTAAGAACTGAAAAGCTTCATTAGGAGGCTCAAATTCTTGGAGTTGAATAACAGATGTGGCTTATCAGTTTTTCTTTCTGCTAGCCTGGTAGCAGAGGTTTTCAGACTAAGTACTTGAAAGCAGACAAGAATTTCATTTCCCAGTTACAAAAAGCTGAGAGCTGGGAGGTATTTGTGCACTATCTCTGAGTCCTGCCACTTTGAAGACTTTGTGCTTCTCAAATGATCACTTGAGCCAAGTGTTGCACTGGGATTTCACCAATGCTAAAGGCAAAGTGCAAGATGATAGGAGCTGGTAAATGGAGAAAAAAAGCAGCAGAACCAATAATTAAAATAATTTTAAAAATAATTAGTGTATTAAATAATGTTAGCAAAACAATGAAGAAAGATCCAGTATTTTAGTAGAGACTCAGAAGCGGATTTGTTAGGGTGTATTTGTACAAACTGAATTGCTTGGAAAAGTCTGTGCCACTTACTGAAACTGTTGAACTGGGAGTGTTTGTTCCATATCCAGATGAAGGAAGGGAGGCCAAGGACCAGCGGCGTCCATCCGTTCTGGGGAAAAGACACAAGGGAAGTTACAGTCAGGAACAGAGTGTGGCTAAGTCTTGAGAGAAATAAGCAATTTTCTTCTCCATATCTCCTAACCTCAAGCTTTTATTAATGTCTTAAGTTATTCAGATAAATCAAGTATCCTATTTACAATCACACTTGTGGAAAAGCAATGAGAGTAAGTTTTAAAAGCAAAACTAGATGACCTTGGAAAAACAAAAGCAAAGGGGCACCAGAATCCTGCATTAAGTAGATGCTTTGTACTTCTACAAAACTTGGGAGTTTCTAAAACAAACAAATAAAAGCAGCTCCTTGCAAACTTCTTTGAAAAAGAGACTCATGCTTAACATACTTATGCAGCTCATTGTCTTCCAAATGAAGATGCGGACTGAGGACAAAAAAATCACATTAGATCAAGAATCAACTGAAAGCAGATTAATTTGTTTACCTACTCAGAGGGCATTCAGCCAGCACATTGCCTGGCATGGCTGGAAAATTAAACCCACAACAGCAGATAGGAACAGAGCCAAGGGGCCCACTGCCATACATACATAGATCACAGAAATCTCACCTAGCATCTTTTCTCCTCCAGTCAGTATAACACGAGTAGTTATTTCCCTGCTGTAGCCAAATAAACATGTCCCTCAGGGAAAACATCCAAAACATTGTGGAGATACTGCAAGAAAGGTCTTGTTTTGCCAGTGTCAAAACTGAATTATTGAGGAACTGCACAAAATCTTTGAGGAAAATCAGTGCTGCCCTCCCTGAAACCATCTTCTTCCCTCAAATCTCAGTGAAGATGGAAACTGCACTACATTTAGCTCAGTTTCACAGCACTTTTTCTGTCTCTGATATATTTTCCCACATTTTGCATCTTTAAAATGGACAACCATGTCCTGTTGCACAATGGGATGGATGTTACAAGTCTCTTCCTCACATCAGTTTCCCTTTGCTTGGGTTTTTTTCTTGCAGCAGATTATCAGTAACTGGTTATACCACAAAGCTGAATTATAACAGTTCTAACTCAATTTATGATAGGTATGGGTGGGGTTTGGTACACACAGATACAGTGCATTTATGCAAGTGCATTATAAAACAGGATATTTGGTACAGGTCTGAAAGAGTGATTATAAAAACCTCAACTGTTATCTTCACAGTAGTATTTCTCATCCCACTATCCACACCCAAGAAACCTCATCTCCAGAAGAAGGTTCAGTGCCCACCAAGACAAAAACTCCTGTTTACAGTTTTTCCAGCTCTAGTTCCTTTTATTTTCAGGCACCGACACACACCACTCTTTGCCATCTATCTTAGAATGAGGGAAATAAACTCACTGTTCCACATCACTGCAAGAATATTATGTCAACAGAGTTTTAAAAAGACTCATGCTTCATGCATTAAAAAAAATATTAAGCTGTAATGCATATTTTTATTGCATGTCTATGTTACAGCTAAACCCCATTTAGCCACAGGTGATATTTTCTCTGGCAAGACAATTAAATGTAAAAGAACAATCTCAAAATAATTTCAAGTGAAATGGAATTCCTTTCTTAACCCTGAAAAACAACAACTATCCACATTACAAAGTTGTTGCATGCTGTGGTAAGGGATTGAACACCAAACTTCAATAATCTTCACTGAGTTTCTTGTAATATACAGGGGCACTGGGGAAATATTTAGGTCAATGATTCAACCTCACTTTGCATCTTCAGTCCCAGAGCAAAACATTCTCTTTCTTGCTGCAGAAGTTATTCATTTCTTGCAAAACAAAAGCCTGACTTGTTTTTTTTTTGTTTGGTTTTGTTTGTTACTGAATTACCCAAATGTTGTCTTGAAAGAACTTCCAAATTTTCATTTTGACCAAGTTAAAATAAAATATCTTTCTCAATTAGAAAATTCCAGCACACCCCTTCATGCTTAGGACTAACATATTAGCTCTACTTTAGCAGAAAAAAGTGGGACAAGAGTGAAAATCTTCCAAATCAAGGAAGGGGAAAAGACTTTTAAGGCAAATTCATCCTGCATTTATGCAAAGCATTTCAAAGTACTTCACTGTTTTGTTAATAAACATATTTTTAGAGAGTCAACATGCAATATTACATCAGGATAAGACACTTAGAATGAAATCTTTAGGTTTTGTTATTTGTTATAGATGCTTTGCTAACTCAACAAAGACATGCAAACAACAAATTTTGCCTCTAAAATGAGATTTTAATTAGTTAATTATGGAGGTGTTTTTACAGCAGCTAAATGCTATTTCATGAAGAAGCAGATCAATTTCAAACAAGAACTTAGAAAAACAACACATCTTCTCCAGAGCGCTACCTGTATCATCATTTTAAGCCAAAATGTAAAGATTTTCTGTTTCTATTACAAAGACTAGAAGCTGAATGCCTAAATGGGGTTGTTACAGCATGGACTTGTTAGGGACACGTGCTCAGCGCACAGAAGCACAGTTCACACACACACACAAACAGCAGCAATGGGATACACGTTACCTGTCTGCTCTGTGTCCATGGCTGTGTGGAAAAAATTGTACAATAATTATGAGAGAGGGAGAAGTGAATGATGCAAGTGATTTCTGAAAAAAAAACAACAAAACTCTTCACTTTCTGTTACTGATATTCCTCCAGGATCGGTTTTAGTGAGTGTGAGCAGAATTAACCATACTTTTCCTTATTCCAACAGGAGGATTCCTGCCTGTGTTGCAGCTATGATACAATCATTGAAAGGGTGTCTAGCAAGGGCAAATTATGCCCAAACAGGACAATAAATGAAGAAATTACACCACTAACAGAAGGCAGAAAATCAGCAGTAATTAATTCCTGTGATGGCAATGGTAGTGTCCTGGAAAATCAGGCAAGGGCCATCTCTTAATCCCCACGCAATGTCAATGAAAAGGGTACTGTGAAATATCCACTTCCCTGGCACCACACTTGTAATTCCTTAATTCCATCATATAGAAGTTATTCTGATACCAGTACAGGGTAATCTAGTATGTATCTGTTGTTACTGCTGGCAGAGCTATTCGGGCTGTAATGCAAGCAGAAAATAGAAACAGGTTTCTAAAACAAGCAGTGCTTAAGTGTTCTTTTCCCTGGCAGAAAAAGTATAGAGAGGAACATGCATGCTATAAAATGAACCACTGTACTCAACAGGACAGGCTTAACCTTTATTCAACTATTTCTTTAAAAATCAGATTTAAGAAGTGGAAAAGTATGAAAGGGAACTCTTCAGTTTTATTACTAAAACATTTATTTGCTGTCTGAACTTTTAGAAAACCATATTGAAGGATCGAATTGAAACATGATGTTGAAAAATTATTAGGTTTTGACAATAACTGCTGTTTCTGCTGCAACTTTTCTACTGTTTTCCAGGATCCAGAACTTCAGTGAGATATTTCAGATACTGTGATAACTCGTAAAAGTTGAGTTGATTTCAACACTGCTTATTGAATACTTCCAGATCAGGCTTTAAACACAAATGTGGATGAGTCTGTTTAAATTGTTCAAGCAGCAGGTAAAGCACTAATTTTCCCTCTGAGGCAACAGGAAAATACATATCCAGTCTTTTACATTTCATATGCTATTAAAAAGCATTTTCTTGCAAAAGACCAGAAGACCAAAGTCTGCTTCAAACAGAATTAAGGACACCAGGTCTTCTAGAAAATCACCTCAATGGAGAAATGCTCCAGGATTTTCCTGCCATTCAGATAAAGAGTGTACCTTATTCCACCAAATCCTAACCCTTTATTCTTCTTTGAAGTTTTAAGACTTGCCATTTTTTTCTAACTAGCCCTCAAGCTAAATCTCTCTTTCTCAGAAAACTTACTTCCTCTTAGGATGATCACACATTTCTCATTCTCAGATCATTTTAACACAGATTGGGGTATTTTCAGTTAAGGCAGAGTTTAACAAATCAAAAATACCTTCCTCACACTTGAATCTAATAACCCACCTCCTATGCACAAACCCTGCTTGGGAGCTCTCTAATTTCCCTGCCCTTTCTCACAGAATTTAACTTTCTGCACCATTATCCATTTCTGCCTACCTGCTGGGATTCAAAATTCAAATCACCATTTTTCTGCTTTTCCCAGCTGTCTCTATTCTTTCACTCCTGTTCCTTACACTAAATCCACCACTGTGGTATCAGATTTCTTTCCAGCAGTTTGATACACCGCATGACCAGCACCTGTCCAGCACTTGCTGCAGGACAGATGACAGCTTCACATTTGGGTCTCTCAGTGCTGCTCTTGTAGAGGTTCTTGTAAACTTGGAATTTCAATTATCAGCTATTTTCCTCATTGAGCAGTAATGTTGTCTTGACACCCATGCCCAAGACAGCAGAGAAAACTCAGGAGTCATTACTCTTCTCAGTGAGAAGGCAGGGAATGAAGACACAGAATTGTGCACACCTAATTTAAGGTATGTTTATATCTTTGTGCAGACATAGCAGAGAACATCAGTACATTTTCAATACACCTCAGTGAGAGAAACATCTAGGACTACAACTAAGCTAAAATTACCCTAATCATAATTGGCTTTAATGTCACTTTGACTAAATTATGTATCATATCACATGCCCTACGTGTCATTCTTCTGGGAGAACATTGCCTCTTCCCTAGGCAGCATTAACTACTTAATTTACTTTATCTTCTTCTAGGTCTGAAAAGCACCTAATACATTCTGGTGCTGCCAAGATGTAATCCACAAGGAGTAAAATGAAATAAAATTGGAGACATCAAAGAAAGTAAAACACAATCAAAAATGTTCTGACCCCTAGGCCATCTGTAAATAAAGTGTACAGACTATTTGCTTGCCAGTCCAAAGAGAACAGATCCCGCCTTACCTTCGGGCAGGAACAAAGGAAAAATGAGCAGGTGCATTTGGAGAGAAATTCCTGGGACTGTCCAAGGGGCTGCTACCTGTTTAAGAAAGCAAAAATTTGTTCAAAACCATTTTGTTCACATTTGCAGCAAATGGAATAAATTTTCAGTGTTCTGAAAGACTTCAAACTGCACATTGTGGTCACAAATAATCAGAAATACGGAGCTTTGAGTTTTGAGCATTAGTTTGCTAAAGGAATGTTCTGACACAGATTTTTCCTCCTTTTAAAACAATTTAAAGGGTATGTTTCATTTCCCACTTTCAGGTATGTACCACCCATAGACAACAGAGTCTTAGTATTTTGAAGTAATTTCTATCTACAAGCTTTTCCTAACGCTTGTCAATGAAAATCCTGAGTTTGAAACAGTTTCAGGAATAATAAACAGTAAGAAAACATTTCCTCCCAATGTACGTAAGGTTGAATGTAAAATTAATTTAGAAAAAAAAGATACACCATGAAAACTGCACATGATAATGAAAGGACTATGTATATGTAAGATAATTGGGCTAAAACCTATCAGCAGTCACACCAACTAACACTTTTCTGAAATAGTACTTTGCCATGAAAATGAAAGTACCAGCAAAACCATACAGAAAAGAAGAAAAAAAACAAAACAAAACGTTTTGGCACAAGTGTTTTTTTCTCAGGGCTCTGTCATATGGTGTGTAAGCATATGGTGTGAGTGGTTTATTGCAATGTATTTTATTTTGAAGTAAAAAGCAAGCAGAAAGCCCTTCTGAAAGCCAAGATCACTTACAAACTAACTACAGAAATATTTGAAAGCTATGGATGTATTTAGAAGCTTCACCTCAGTGAGCATGCTTTCTACTGGGCATGAAATGGTTTGCTCTGTCTGATGATTAATACAGGCACAGAAGACAAAGTATCCATAGTAAACATGTGTCAACAGCAATTTCTTTGTGCAAAGACAACAATATACCACTAAAATAAGACCAGGAAAACGAAATAGATTCTGGAAAAGCAATACACTGCAAGGTACATCAGAAATGGTTTTAAAATTAGATCCCATATAAAATGGTTTTATTTTAAAAGTCATGTTGAAAAGTCAAACCTCAAGTATGAGTCATCTGCAAAGGACTTGTCTGTTTTAGAAGCTCAAGCTGCCCAGCTTGCCCCGCAGGGCAGCAGTGATTTTGAGGATACAACCCCTTCCAGCAACCTACTGAAGCTTATAATTAAGCTTATAATTAAGTCACATTAATTTCAACCCAAGTTATCCACACACCTTTGCTGTTCCACTGAGCAGGAGCAGAATATAAGCAGGGTGCTCAGTTGAAGGCAACATTCCCTCACACTTCAGCCTTACAAATGGGTCACACAGGTCTGCAGCAGCATCTCTGCACAACTCCTGTGAGCAAGGTGTGCACACCTGGCAGGTGTGTCGGGGCAGGGAGGGAAGAGGAGGAAAGGGGGAACAGGCTGACACCTCCTGGGGTATGAGGATGGCCAGAAGTGCAGCACAGGCCAGCAAACTCCATCTGGTCTGCACGTCTACAAGGGGAAAAAGAGCAGCTGGTTGAGATTAAACCAGCCCCAGGCTGATGTAACATGTGTCAGGGCTGATGAGAGAACTGGAGAGGTAAGTGAATTCCAGACCACTCCACAATCTGCCTCATCAAGAGCAAAATAAATTACAAATAAAGAGTTTGAGCAACAGGTTTGTTTGCCTTTGCCTTGGTTTTCTTTTGTATTGTTAGTTGAGACTAACAATGAGTTCACAGTTTAACACAACACCATTCAAGTCTTTATCCAAAACTGGATACTGTTTAACCCATTACCAGTATATCCCAAGTGCAGAGGGGAGAGACTGATCAGAAACCTACAGCTAAATAACTTTTGGTGTTTCATTTATTAAGCTTGTACTCATTTTAATTCTTATGGTCACAGTGAAAAACCAGAACCATTTTGCAGCTTTGGAACCACAAGAAGATGGAGAGGTCTGACAGACCCAGTCTAGGAGGAACTGCAAGCTTCCAAGGAGACTGAAGAAGTCACCAAAGTGAAGAACTGAGTCATGCATGAACACACATGTCCTGGTAGCAGCACAGACCTTAGGGTGAGGGTCACCAATCACCTGCTAGCAGAAAGATGAAGGAGTGTTTTAGGATGAAGCAGGAGTGAGGCCTTTCCATGGTTATGCAGAAGATCAAACAAAGCCAGGAAAGCTACCAGCTTTGGTGGAAACCTTGGTCTTTGCCTTCTCATTTTTCCAGCTTTACTGACAATGAACACTACTGTGTCAAGATGATAGTTTTGAACAAAAACCTCATTGCCCAATGCTGTTATAAACAACCAATGCACTGTCATTGCCTTTTTATATCTTCATCAATCTTTGAACTTTCCGGGGTATGATCAAAATGGAATTTCAGAATAACTGAGCAAATTGGGTAATGACAGTTTTTAAATCTTGAAATTAAGTATGTGGGTGTTCAAATCCTTCTGAGCCTGCACTGTGTGGTACAGAGATACTACTAATTTTTGAGCAACTACTTTTTCAGATGTATATGGCATATTTCCTTCCAGACACTGGAATTTTAATTAGATCCCCAGTGATTTGCTTCTAGTTTTAAAATGAAAAGCAATTAGTTTTTCTACTCAATTCGAGTCTGGGTGAAGCTTTTAAAACAACAACAGGGAGACGGGGAATTTCTGCTTTCCCTAAAATTTCCCAGCACTGCTGAATCTGCTCTAGATGAAGGTATTTTAATAAGAGAAGCCTGACTGCAATGGTCTCGTTCACCAAGGCTGATCGAAACCCTATTTATTCTGCAGCAAAGGTAGATTCCCCTGTTGCTCCAGGGTTATAGTTGGCTACTACTGAACCTGAAATGCCTCTGTCTCAAGGGAGGCAGTTACACAGAATGATTGCCCATTAGGTAAATCAACACAGCTACACCAACGCCAGTAATTCAGGCAGAAACCTTTACATCTTCCGGACACAGGAAGAAGGATGCAGCCAAAGGATTTGTAAATCCACTACCTTCAAAATATGAAACCAGACCTCACAGGCAATGACTGTCTCAGCTATCCCCTACAAACATGAATGACACTCATCAGATAGGTTATGAGTCCAAAAACTCACAACAGAGCCATGCTGTAAAACCTGCTTCTGAGAGCCATAAAAATTAATAAATAAACAAAAAAGACAAAGTTTCTGTGCTCTTCTTTGCAAGATATTCAAACGATTTGCTGAATATTAAAGCGAACAGCTAAAGGTCATATGCATGCTATAGAATTAGATGCCTTCCAGCACACACAAATTTCAAAATTATCACAATATTTAAAGCACCCTGTGTACCACCAGTCTCATAAACAATGAATGCCATGGTGCTCTCACACCACCCAAGGATCACAGGCATGATGTGCTGATGAACCTCAGCTTTGATAACTGGAGCAGGATCTAGAGTGGGATATTACATTCTCTGCACACTCTCAAAACAAGGAATGAATAGGCACCTCAGCAATAGCCATTTTTCTGCCAGAAGGTGGAACTGAACTTGCAGCATAATAGCAGAATCATTTCATTCAGCAGCAGTGTTGCCTGTGAGCAGCTCCCTCTGTGTGCCATTACAGATGGGAGCAGGGCAAAGGTCCCAGCAGTGACAAGTGCCTTCACTGGAAGCCAGAGACCAACCTGGCTACCTTACAGCTGTGAGAAGTCATTTTTTAAGTAGCCTGAGCTTCAATTTTCCAGCTGTAAGTACCTATCTCTTTACTACTAAATTATAATGTTACTTCTTTGATTTTAAGCTTTTTGATTTAAAATATAATCCGATGGCAACTTAGTTATGGTGCAACCTCTTTGTAATTTTCAGATTTTAAAAAATGGATTCAAAGAAGTAGAAAAAAAAAAATTAAGGCATACATATGTGTACCTTTTAACTTCTCCCTCTCTGTGGTTTCAAACCACAAAGAATTTAGAATAAAGGCAATATTTTCAAACTTGCATTCTTAAAACTGGCCACTACAAGTTTGGGAGACTAAACCAGCAGTGTGACTTCCCCTTGAGCTGTAGCTCTCTATGCCAAAGTACCAGCTCATTCTGGAAAATGTTATTTCATACAGTCTAAAAAATGAACTAGCACACTTAAGTACTCTTGATTCAGAACTGATCTCACGGCAGGGTTCAAAATGTTTAGATGTACTTCTTTCTCAAATGTTGAGAGCTCTTCAAGTAATACTTCTACATTTTCTAGGATATGAAGTTGCCTGGCACCTTGTTGGGATGCTGCTTGAGACAGTAAGTCCCTCTGCCTGGATCAGTGCTCAGGAGGAGGTTTGCCTGACAGAAGGAAAGTCTCCTGGATCTCACCCACTGACTTTTACATCACCTGCACAAGAGTAACTCCTGACACTACTGCCACGCAGGAATTTATTTTTAGTGTGGTGTCTGAACAGAAACATTTTAGAAAGCCTCCCTGGTCTCTCTGCATGCTTGCTGTTCCTTTGATTTGCAGGAGAGGTTCAGAATGGGCATTAAGAAGACAAAAGCTCAAGACAAAAGAGGCCGAAGAGAGGTACCAGCATTTCTTAGTAACTCATCACTGCGTGTGTCTGAACAAACAGACTGACAGATTCTGTTCAAATACTAAACAAATATCACAGCCTGTTCTCAAATTCACTCCTCATATATGATATTTCTTAAGAAAATATTTGTGACTCTACTCTAAATTTCATCTACTTTTGTGTCTTGAATAAATTATTTTTTTCCCAGGGAAGACTCCTAAATATAGTACTGGTAGAGAACCCAAATTACAATTAATTTATCTTCCTGTGCACTACTGGCTACTCCTGCAGGTAACAAAGGATGTCCTTTTAATTAATGATTTTAAATCCCATATGCAACACCAGGGGAAAAAGGAAATATTCGAAAATTACTGCTAAAGTAAGGTGGCACACCATTGAGTAGTTACTCTTCCTTTCAGAAGATACATACTTCTAATAAATTATAAGCTTGTAAAGCCTGAAACAGCATCAAAACCACCAGAAGAAACTTCATTTTTTAATAGACAGAGGAGAAAAGCAAATCAAAATAAAATAAAATATACATGTTTCTATTATGAACATTTCTGCATTTGTTTTCTGACCAATGATCATGTCAGTATTTTGTTGCAATCTCCCAAGCATTTCTTTTTCTCAGTTAAAGATTTGTAGAAGTAATTTAGAATTTAGTGAAACCCACACATATATGAATTCAAAGCAATAAGCACAATGTAACTAAGCAGAGAATCTCTACCAAGGAAAATGCCTTGTTTAAACTAAATTCTACAGAATTACTTCTACCATAACCAAACACAACAGCAACAAGGGAGTTTGAAGTGGAATGAGATGGTCCTGTACACATTTTTGGCCCTGCATTTAATTTCAGATTCTGAAGCAGAAAATGGTTTTAATATACCACCTGTATGATTTTGTTAGCAATTTAACATGGGTCATGTACTTGAAGCATCTTCCTAGCTTCCAATGACTGGGCTTTTTATAGCATCCCAAGAAAATGTGGCAGATTTTTACGAAAACTTAAGAATGAATGAGGCTTTTCTGGGCATCCCTGAACAGTAACTTCAGCCTTCTTTCTCCTTTACAGCCTTTACAGGCTGGATATCACCTCTCGGGATGCAAAGCTCTGCAAACAAAAGCAGATGGCTCCTTCTAACTGAGCTACTATCAGTTTGCTGTTCTTTCTCAGCATTGCCTCAGTTTCAGTCTCCAGGAAGCATTTACAGAACATGCTGCCATGTAGGAGGAAGACAGTCTGATTATAATGAAAACAACATTCCTTGTCTTACACGCAGCAGCGCCGTGTTTCCAGAGAGGCTCCACTGCGGATGATGTGCCACAAACGTTCCAGCTGTTTCCTGCTACTGACTGGTGCCCATCAGGGACATACCTGGAGCCCAGTCATCCTCTCTGGCATTTTGAAACAGTGAAAACAAAGCCGTCACATATCACCTACCTCCCTCAGCAACAAAAACAAGGGAACATGCTGTTCAGGCAAGCTGTTGAATCTGCATGTGTGACCCTTTCTGAAGAATTATTCCTTCTTTTTCTGTTGGAAGAACATCTCCACACACTTCACTTCAATGACTAACAAGCCCCTGCCCGTGTGCTCTGAAATGAGCATTTCCCAGTTGCTGCCATGGTAGAATTGGTAGCAGTGTAAAAAAGAAATAAAACTTCCCAACACCTCATGTAGCTATGAGTAGCAGACAGAGACCATAAGATGGCACACTGCACAGCTGCCAGGCTGCTGGAGGCACACGGAAACAGGCAGGATGTTCCTCCTCATGAGAACTGCAGTTAAATCACTGGCACAGATTAACCATGCTCAGAGACCCAAAACAAGAGATTTACTTAAATGTATTTATCTAATTTTATTTGGCTTCGTTTTCAATCTCAGGCTCTTTTGCAGGATGTAAGAGGATTGAATCCCCCAGGAAGAGTGGAGGATGGAAATGGAAGCAAACTATAAAGTGGAGAACATAAAACATTTATCTTGAAACAATAATGACTCTCCTACAAGTTTGAGAAGGTGAAAAATTACCATCAGAGTAATTTCCAAAGGGCATATTTTGATGCTGAGTATCAGTATCAAACTCACTGCAATGGCTACTGGCATTTGTGCTGGTGATTCCCAGGGAGAGCAGTCCTAGGGAGTTACCTGCGTGTCCATGAAGGGGGGAATGCGGCCGCGGGAGAGTTGGAGACGTGCTGGATGTTACAATCAAACTCTTCCTGTTGCTCGTCCGACAGCTGAAAGAAAGAAAGATGAACCATTAGGCACGGTCAGATGGCCAACAGCACCTCAAGGCAGGTCCTGCAGAATCTCCTTCTGCTAAGGAGGAATCTTGCAGTATTTAGGGTGGGATTTTCTCACACTCTTGCCCTCAGTAGTGATGCTGCAAAGAAGAAAATGTACAGGGAGAAAAGGCACTTGCAGGTACAAGGTACAGCAGCAAGTGTTTCAACACTCTGGAAGCATTTGCTGCACAGGCCACTGGAGATAGCTGGTAACTCATTCCTGATTCACAGAATATGTGCAACTCAGGCTTTACAACTCACACAAAAAGCAAAAAACAATGTAAAATACCCCAGAGTGCTTTGGATGCTCTTACTAATATCCAACCTAGAAAATAAATCCGTTACAATTATTGGCTTGGTTATAAGAAACCAAAGCATATTCCTTAGGGCAGAGTTAAAACTACAGAGCAAAGTGTTAGCACAACCCAGCAGATGAGTGGAATTACTAATCAAATTTAAAATCTGGGATCTAAAACCTTTCTGAACGCATGTGGCAATACAGATGGAAAACTCTGCAAAGCAAGTTTGAGACACGCCTCCGCCACATCAACTCTATTCACTGCCATGATTTTGTTCTAGCAAGGAAAGTGACACTTCTTATGGGACAGCTCAGATTTCTTTTTTCCCCTGCTGAGAGCTTCAGAACTGAGCCAAATGAAAAGAAGGATGTGTTCCTCCATTTGCTTCCCAGCCTTGTGACTGCTGGTATCAGACATTTAGCTCTAAAGATGATAAAAGGAATCACAATGGGCGAGGGAAACATTTTTAAATCATGGGAGCTGTGAGGACGAGCAGTTAAGATAGTTAAATCCGTTTATGATTGCCACTTCTCCAGCTGTTTAAACAGAAGAGATGAAGTTGCCAGCAAAATCTTACAAGTGACCAAGCACTACAGCTACAAACACCTATTCTTTGTACCTCGCTTGCTTCCTACATAGCAGAAATATTCCCGCTTACTTCAGCAGTTCCCAAAACAGGTAACTAGAATCCTATTGGTGTTGATAGGAGTGGGAGAACTGCCAGGAGCAGGGAAAGCTGAGCAAAGGCTGAGTTAGGAGCTCGCTGGCCCCACTCCAGGGATGCCCTGTGAAGCTCCACACTGGGTTGCCCAGGCACAGGCAAAGCCTCTTTGCTTGCAGACCCCAAATGCTGTCGTCTGCCAGGTCCTTCGTGCACTGACTGATCTGCTGGAGCTGCCCAACAATAAACACACTCGGGCTGCCAAGAACTACAATTTAATGCAAAAGTATTTTGCTGCCACAGGATACAGTGCATCTGACTATTATTATTTGTAAGCTTATTTTATTGCTGTTCTATAGGAAACTAGAGAACTTGATGCAGAAAAAAATACAACTGAACTGCCAACTATAATAAACAGTAATAAAGTTGAAGCACCATTAACTGCTATTCAGGCTCTTTAGTGTACTTAAAGCATTCCTCAAAATTATCCAACTGATTCCATACAATCTCCATTTACATTCATGTATTATTCAACAACAGTCCATCCAAAAACTGATTGCCATTGTGCACATCTCATGGAAAAACTAACAGCCTGACTTTAAGAAGCTTAAAATCTCAGTTCATGGATATTTTTAACATGTTTTCAGTTACGCTATTCCAGTAACTTCTGAAAAAAACCAGAATACTCAAGTCCAACATTAATACCAGATAATCATTGTTTACATTAGCACAAAATCTTTCTTGCAACATGAAATTCCTGAGTATTCTAGTGTATGATATATTACTATGTAAGAAATCTAAAAAAAACCCAAAACTTAGGTATTTTAGTATCAAATATATTGTAAGAATTTAAGATCTCACTCATTTAAAACCACTAGTAAAGTGAGAAAACAGAGCTCCATTCTCTACAGTTGTATCTCTTTGTTAAAGAGAGTTCCTAAAGCGCACTTCACCACAGCAATGCCTGGAGCTGGCTATGGAAACTTGGTATATTTAAACCACAGCATAACAGGGGAAGTGAGCTGTCCCAAACTCAGAGCTTTTTTAACTGTTGCCTGCATTTTCCCAATTGAACTGAGTTTTACAAACCCATTTTCTTTGCTGTCTTTGCCAAGATAAGGAGCCAAAAGAGAAAGGGTTAAGGGGATGGAGAGCAAGCACAGCTGAGACCTCTTAAAATAGGTCAGGTTTACACAAATGTACCCAGAGGAGGGAATGGCTTGGAGTGAAAGCCTAGCCCCAAGTTGGGAATAAAACATTATTCTCTTTGCACCATCAGCATTGGATAACTTTTAATTTTCCTGGATCTCTCATCTGCAAAAGAGAAACACCACTTGGGTCTGTTTAGCCATTGCTATGACTTACATGTGTTGGCAATAAGGCAAAGCTCAAATACCGAGACTAAAAACAAAACACCCAGCTTCTCAAATTGATGTTCTATGTTGAGAAAAATACACAAGTACTATCATACTCTCAACTGGCTGAAGAGAGCTCTCTGCATATAGAGAAAAAGCTTTTAACAGATGTAGGAATCCTAGAGGAAATGCAGAACGAGAGTGATGAAGTTCTGGTAGTCACTAAAACGAAAAAAAGGGTGAAGGGAGGAGGTAACAAGCAGACTTCAGTGGGATGACCTCCCCCCCAACAAGTCACTATGACAGCATTTGAGCACCCCCTAAAGAACAGCTAAATATGAAGGAAGCAAAGCTGGCTTTAAGCAGGGCTTAAAGAAATTTCTTAGGCTTAGTGCCAAAGAAATTCAAACTAGTCAACTTAAGTGTTGGCAGAAATAGCTCCACTGAAGAAAAAATTATTTCCTGGAAGATTCATTTTAGCCAGACACACAGTGCTGGGCTCAAAAGTGAGCTACCAGGCCAATGATAATGAGGAGATCATATTGTTAACCCATTAAATTGCATTAATTATTATTTATTACCATTTGTGAATCCTTGAAACAATACTGTATGTCTTCCTGCTCAAAAATTAATTTAATCTACACAAGAAAACAGGAGTAATAGGAGAAAGCAGAAGGGAAAAAGGTTGGCTATGTCTTACTTATTAACTAGAAAAAAACCAGTTTTTAGCCAGTCCAGGGAGATTTCAAGCATTATTATTTGTTTGTAAGCCAAAGTTTTGCTGTTTTCATTAAATACAAGATGAGCCCTGCCCTGAACCTCTCTTTCTCTCATGATTTGCTATGGGTCTTGTTAACTTCTTTCCCCACCCCACCCCCCCCTTCACATATCACTTCATAATTTCAGAGAGCAAATCCCCTCCAGTTCTTCCAGTTTAGGGCAAAACACAATTTTAAAAGCGCAGAGCTTCTGTAGGGCCCAGAGCTGCAGGGCTGAGCTCTGGAGGTGCTGCCCTCCCGACCCCAGCGCAGCACCCACACAGCCAAACCTGAGTCTAGGAACCTGTGAGAACACAGGAGCACCCCCATTTCATTCTGAAAACACACAGTAAAACAGATACATTGAAACAGTTGAAACAATGCCTTTGCATCACTATGGAAATAGAGTTTTACTCTGTTTCTGGAGTAAACTTCTGTGCCTGCAGTAAAAATAGCGTTTGTTACGTGTACTGAAGTGTCCCCAGCGCACTCCTGAAACTGAACACCGCAGCACATCGGACGTGGCTCTGGTAAGCAGACACTGCTCCTGGACCCACTGAAATGTGCCCCCGAGCCTGCACCCTTACCCAGTTATTTCTGAGCACATTTTGTTGCTGTACCTGTGACCTGCATGCAGCCCCCAGCTCTTCCTCTGCACCCCAACCTCCTTCTCCTCCTCACCCACAGACAAGCCTGTAAAATGATCATCACGAGTGCACCTTGTTTCATCTGTCTATTCAGTCTGAAAAAGAAATCAATGACTCAGTTTCAGCATAAATCGATATTTGATTCTTTATTTTAGCAGTTTACTCAGGGGACATCTTCCACTCACCGAGCAAAACTGATTAATGCCCATGAGGTATCTGTGTAATGAAAGCGAGGGCCACAGAAAAAACAAATATAAATAACTAACCACCACTACCAAGCAATTTCATACCGAGGCTGGTTATTATAAATGAATAATGATAAGGAAGTTTTTCAAAATCCATCTGAATTTATAGGCCTTGAGGAATTTTTCATAGCTGAAGCTGCTGGAGTATGTAAGTAAACAAGGTAATACTGATTGCACGAGCCTTCTCATTGACTTTGATAGAAATCAACTTGAAGAAATAAGATATATGGAAAATGTATAGCTTAAATCACATTTAGGTCACTATTCATGAATACATTTTATTCATATTAGTGATTTGTCATAGAATCACTAAGATTGGAAAAGACCTACAAGATCATCAAGCCCAACCTTTAACCAAAAATTTAAATTTTAGAATTTTGTAAACTACCTCAGGTTGTCAAAGTGCCAGATTAACTCTTGCACTAACTTCTTTCAAAACAGCCTTTCAGAAGCCAAACATCAGACTTGTTTCAGATTTGACACTCCATTTAGTGGCCTCAAATCCCTATGAATTGGGATGCAAAATTCAGAGCAATCATATCTACAAAAGCTATTTGTGGTTACATATTTTCCTAAAATGTAATATCGCCTAACCAAACTTCACCAGATTCTCCTCTGATGTTACAAAAGTTTGGTTTCAGTTGATTTGCTTTACAAAGAGTTCTTTATGAGAAACAGACATTTTGGAAATGAAAATAAGTATTTAAAATTTTTATTCACAATGACAGAAAATTTACAAAATCCAAAATCTGCATGTCAATGAATGCAGCAGCTGCACAGCAATGTTAACTAGATGTGGAAGTTATCGTCTTAATTATAGTAATTCAAAGATGGAAGCAATTTTGTAAGCTTTAGCACTACCAACAACAGGGATAATTATTTCTCTAAAATAGATAAGTAAGCATCTGGTTCAACTGATTTCTTTTTTTTCCACATTCAAGAATAGTTTAAGAGTTATTCATCCTAGAATAACTGGGGGGGGAAAAA